TAGTTTTCGTAAACAATGAGATATAATATCTAACAATTCTTTGGATTTAACACCATCTTTTGATACAAAGTAAGCTATGGGAATTTTCCACGATGAATAAATTCCTCGTATCATAATTACCAATACTTGGCTAGCGGGATCAGGTCTTCTTCCTAATATTCCTAAATCGACTAAACCTTCAATCTTGTCCATTTTTTCACTATAATCTAATTGGCGTTTTAGGCTCATTTCGTCAAACATGACAACACAGAATCTTTCTGACGGTGTCATAGTTTCTGACTTGATGGACAACTGATTGAAAATTCTTTTGTTGAATCCGGGCCAGCAATTGAAGTTTCCCAACCATTTTTTTATAGATGATACAGCTGGGAGAATTATACCTTTTTGTCTAAGATATTTGTATGCTGATGGGCTTTTGTAATAAATTGATAAAGATGTTCTTGTCTCCATAGCTGTCCAAGGCGAACGCACATTACATTTTAACTGCATATTTAATAAGCACTTAGAAAACTGTGGTGCTGAACTTTTAAATAAAGTTTTGGCCGATAATTGTGCTTTTAAAATTTTCTTTTTAGCATTATTCAGCTGCTTCTGTAAATTATTGACTTTTTTTCTTGCAGATTCTAAATCGGCTTTTAATAATTTGTTCTCTTCCTTAAGTGAAGTACTTTTCCTTTTTTTTGTTTTCGCTAATGGCAAGTTTTGAACTTCTTTCATTAGTTTGTCATTACCAGGGCTGCAGCTACTACTACTACTACTACTACTACTACTTTGTGCGTTTATCACGAATGGTCTCTTTCTAATCATATATTTTTTAGATGAATGCGGAGGAATATTTTCAACGTCAAACTTGCATTCAGAGCTACTTGTTTCGGATATATATTTTATAGGAATGGCATTGACAGGCAATTTCTTTGACAGAACTTGATCCTTTGTAAAATGATTACTACATATAAATTTATTCTTGAGTTTTCTAGGGCTCAACTCAGCCAATGTGCCATTTCCTGAAATAAAAAATAGGCTTGGAATATGTTTATATTTCCATAGAATTACAATATGATAAACCTTGAAAAGAGTTTAACATTTTTCTTTAAATTTTATTTTTTAACCATTCAACAAGTAACAAAATTAGAACAAAATAATGTTTTTAATGTAAATTTTTGCTCTGTTCAAAATAAAATCAACCCACAAAATACCCTATGCCAAAAAAAAAAAAAAAAAAAAATGTTTCTAAAGTAGGCCTTTGGACAAATGAACGTACCTATGTCGGAGATAATATTCTTATTTTGAAGTGACAATTTGGATTTAATTCAGAGTCGTGCGCAGTTATCACGTACATGACTTGAATATCTGTATTTGTCCGCCATAGCCTACTTTAGAATTTTTTTTTATTACTGTTTATAACATAAGGCTTACCAGAATGCAAAATCCACTTTCGACATCTTTCGGTATTTATAACTGGAAATCTGTATTGTCGAATTTTATTATCTATCCTGCTGGATAGACCACACTTATAATACTGGCACTTATTGCCTGACATCTAAAAAAAAAATCGAGAAATCAATAATAAAAACAATGTATTGTCTTATTAGCAATAAACTATTTTTATTTAACATACAATATTTTTTATAGTAAAATTATGATACAACAGACAAAAAAATTAAAGATTTTGTTCTTAAAAATAGTGTAAGAAATTAAAATTAATAATGAATGTTTTTTTCTGGCCCAATTGATTTTATGTAGACTTACATACTTAGGTCAGACATACTGGGTGTCCCGAAATTAGACGGTCATATTTTAACAGCTTAATCTGCATCCTAAAATAGGAGTAAAAGTTGATATAAACATAGGTCCGATTCGTCTCCGAGATACAGGGTGTTAAAAGTGAACTCGTGATGGCACATTTTAGGACGCACAGTTTTCAAAAGAAAAGCATTTGAAAATTTTATGATAAGTTCATATTTTCTTATTGGAAAGTGCAAAAAATAATTAGTAGGCCTGTGGAATCAAAAATTTTATTTTTTCAGCTTTGGAAAACCGGTGAATAAAGAAATTTATTTAGTTTTAATCGATTTTTTTCTCCTACTTTATTGGCAATGAACACAAATTAAAAGGTATTATGTTTAAATGTTAGATATTAATATTATTTTGATTTACATAATCTACCAATAAATCATACACAAATTGATTTCCAGTCGCGAGCAACACCTTAATAATTGATTTTTAAATGTTTATTTTACAAAGAAACTTGTTCTCTTCCAAATGGTTTGGTTGGATTTGACCCAATAAAACGATTGATTAATTTCTTAAAATGTAGACGTTTAAACTATTTATTTAAACTGATTTTAAACTAAGCCCCCCCCCCTAATTAACCCACTTATTAAGATGATCAAAAACTGGGGTTTAGTCCATTTAGCATCTGTACCAAATTTCACTTAGTTATCTTTAAATGTTTAGAAAAGAAAATATTTACAAAAATGTGTCATCAGGATTTAACTTTTAACACTCTCGAAAACGAAACGTTTTCGGACCTATGTTTATATGAACTTTTACTCCTATTTTAGCATGTAGATTATGCTGTTAAAATATGACCGTCTAATTTCGGGACACCCTGTATATAAAATACCTTTTTATATTTTTTAGACATAAAATAAAACGAAACATTACATTTAAAATGTAGGTACTATTTCTCCAAATATATTTGAACCCATTTTAAATGCGAGCATTTCAAAAAGTATTTGAGACATCACTGTCAGTTTTCAATGGAAGCCTCTAAAAATAATTTAGTTTTCTTGGCATATTATGTTTCTTTTGTATTCGAACTTCCGGTTACATCGGAAATATAATATATCTTCATATGGCAAGTTATTTATTTCATGTAGACGGCTTTGTATACAGGGTGTTTCAAAAAGATTGGTAATAAATTATACCACATATTCTTGGGTCAAAAATAGGTCGATTAAACCGTACTTACCTATATATTGTATATAGGTAAGTACGTGGTATAATTTATGACCAATCTTTTTGAAACACTCTGTAGATTTAGTTACTCCGAAAGCTTAATTTTCTCTTCCACTGAAAATGTAGCATTTGTAACAGTTTTTGATTTTTTAAAGAAATAATAATTGTTAAATTTCTTAACAGTCACTATATTTAAAATAATAATTTAACTTGAAAAACGGACAAAAATACCTATACAAATTTTATTAATTCAATATGACTGTTCAAAGTGCTGATCTTTTACTGAAACACTGCATATATAAGTCTTTTTTTTTAACTAATACATATAGGTAACTATACTACATTTCTAGAAAGGGAATAGAAGAGTTTGTCTGAAGTATCTAGAAATATATAGTTCTTTCCATTTAAAATGAAAATTTTCCCTTTATCTTATACTTATTTCCGGTGTAACTGGAAGGTGTAGTACATTAACTTCTAATACCTTTCTACTATTTGAGATACACATTTAAAATGGGTTCAAATTTCAAATATACCTACTTGGCCACTCCGTATAATTTTTTTATTTGCCTTACTATATTTTTTTAAAACTAATTAAGCCATTTTTATTCACGATCGCACCCATCATATCCCTACTTATTTGTTATTAAATATTGTAGCAATTTGTATAAATAATTTCATTTGAGAACATTTTTATGTACCTTCTTTGGAACAACATATCTACTTAATAGAAAAGTTGAAAAAAGTTTTATATCACGTTTTTTTAGTTAAAAAATGTTTGTGTAAACCGTTCGCGCTCCCCTGAGTTTATGATTAAAGTTTTTTTAGAAACCTATATTTCCTAGCATGTATAAAAAAATTAATTTGCTGCTGCTCTAATATGCAGCATTACAATATGATTTTAATGTAACTTATTTCTTTAATAACTAGATTATTTGCAACCAAACTAAATAATTATTTCAAATTATATCTAGATTAATAAATACCTTTAAGTGAAAACGAGGGTGTTTGTTATTCTATTTTTTGTTTTTTTAATTTCAACGAGTCGTTAATTTGTATGGCCTTTTTTGAAGTAACTATACTTTCTTAAATATTGTGAAAAAAGTACATAAATTTCGCAGAAGGCTCGAGTGATCTCCCACAAAACCCCAATTTCGCAGAACTTAGTTTAAGAAATGCTGCTCTCATGCACAGTCAATAATACATAAATCAAAACACTTTTTAATAATTCGACTACCATATTAGGTATTTAATTTTCTTTGACTGCATATCTTAGGTACTTACTTTAAATATCTTCAAATTTATTTCACACTGTATAATGCGCTTAGCGTCCTTTATTAACAGTAAAATAATTCAGTATTAAAAAATAAACACAACTAATTCACAATATCTACTACCCGTAAACTCACTAACGCACAATAACAACCATTAACAATGAATAAATAAAATTTCATCTAAGAGCTAGAAATAGAAACCCATCAGTCTCCGCCAACCCCAAAAATTTCAGCTCGAGCCTCAAGCTCCGCCCACTGCAAAGGAATATCGACTTATCCATATTCACTAGCGCCATCTATTAGCAGTATCCATTTCGCTCCAATGAAACTTCCATAAGGTGAGACTACTATTTAGTTCTTTATACAATGGTGGTGAAGTTTTGTTTATAGAACCCTGTGATAGAACGGGCGACATCTATAATCTGTAACCTGTGACTAACTGCTACGTAAAGAATTCATAAATTATCTGATAGATGGCAGGAGCCAGACTTGTCTTGAAAACGTCATTGATGACACATTGCCACATTGGTTGCCTACACTAGTAAAACGTTCTTTCTTATAAAAACCTAGTTTTGAAAGGTAGGTTATAAGAGTGTTAATCTGTAAAAATCTTGAAAAATATCCACCATCTTAAAGTAAATACGGAAAATATAAACGTTTATATATTCATTAGAACTTAATTTGTTCACATCGTGGAATATTTTCAAGAAAAAAATAGATAAACAACTTTGTGAATATTTTTTTGCAAGTGGTATCATAGTGACATATTCTTTATTTTCAGGTTTAAAATGGGCCGGTACGCTCGGGAACCTGAGAATGCAGCGAAATCTTGTAAAGCTAGAGGCTCAAATTTGAGAGTCCACTTCAAGGTATGTAATATTCACTATTATTTTAACTAAAAAGGAAATAAACCGTTTCTAACCTCAAAAAAAAATCTAATATGCATACTATTGTTTATAATATGTACTTATTATTTCAGAACACATGTGAGACGGCAAATGCTATTAGAAAAATGCCTCTCAAAAGGGCAGTATCGTACTTGAAGAATGTTGTTGTTCAAAAGGAATGTATTCCTTTCAGAAGATTCAATGGTGGTGTGGGTCGTTGTGCTCAAGCCAAACAGTTCGGTACCACACAGGGTAGGTGGCCGAAAAAGTCTGCAGAGTTTCTCTTGCAACTCCTTAGAAATGCAGAAAGTAATGCTGATTACAGTGGACTTGATGTAGACAGGCTAGTGGTAGAACACATTCAAGTAAGTGTACACTTGATATAAGTATAAATTTTTAATTTAACTAAGTGGCAATATGAACAAGTATAATGTGATATAATTTGGTACTGTTCAAATGCTTTTCTTAGTTTACGTTTAATTCTCTTTTAATAGGAATAAGCAATAAACTTTTTTTTTGTTCTAAACATTTCACATAATGTAGTATTTGCTCTAGTAATATAGGGTAACAATGTTTCCTCTATACACAGCAATATGTGGTTTCTTGTTTCTTTGCATGGAAATTTCTTCCACTCATACTCCTTTATTTATGTCTAGTTGCATACAACTGTTTTTAAACTTTTATTACCAATTTAAAATAATTAATCTCTTAGGTTTGAAATATAAATGAAAAATAAAGTATCCTGTTTTTACATTCAGTCAGTACACTATTAACATTTGAAAATGTTTTAATATAATTATTCTGACTTTACATATAATTATGAGAAAATACAATCGTTAAAACACATTGAAATGTATACAACATGTATATCTTTTACAGATGTATTCCTGTTCTTATTTTTTTTAATGACTAGAAGTATTTTAAATAGTTACCAATGACCCTACTATATAAAATATCATTATTTTTATTTTCAATAATTTGGTTTTTGAAACATTTAAAAAAAATGCAAATTATAAAAACAAAAACTTGTTTAATATCTGAATAAACTTATAAAGCTGAGATAATGAAAACAAAGTATCATATATATATATATATATATATATTTTTTTTGATTTTATTGATAGAAGTAGCAGGTACCATTCCAATTATATATTTTATTCTCTTTAACATAAGAAATTTATATACTTACGTTTTTACTTATTTTTTTCTAAACATTTCACATAATGCAGTTCTCTTGTAGCATAGTGTGGCTAGATTTTCTCTGAAACAATATGGGTTTCTTTGAATGGAGATTTCTTCCATTCTCCTTTATTTATCTCTAGTTATCTCTATTGTTTGTACACAGGTTATTTTTTATAGGTATTTACATTTATTTAAATGACTAGAACTATTTTAAATAGCTGCAGAAGACCCTATTACATAAAATATAATATGTGCACTTACATATTATTTTTAGTGTCATGGATTTTGTTACTTTTTTTTTGAACATTTCTTTTTAAAAAATACAATTTATAGAAAATAAACATTAAAAAAAAACTTGTTTAATAAGCTTTTATGAAAAGCTTACATTTATTTCTAATGTTTCACATACAAGGTGTCCCAAAAAGTTATACAGATGGGAAAAAGTTTTATCTTACATTTAAAAAATAATATTCATAATAAAAAGTTCACTTGGGAATACATAATAAGTGTCAAATTTTGTAAAATATAGGTGATATACAGGGAAAATAAAATAATGATTTATAATGAAGAGTAAAATACTTTTAAATTTCAATACAGGGTGTTATTGAGTGCCGATACTTAAGGGTGTGAATCTTTTGGTGAAAAAGAAAAGTTAATATCAACATATGAGTTACAGGGTGTTACAGTTTTAAGAAAAAAAAAACTCTTAATTTTCTTAAAACTCCAGATATTTTTATGAAATTTTGTACACATCTTTTAATCATTAAGGAGCATTTTTTGACGTAAAATATTTTTATTTTATTTTTGCCAGTGACGTCCGCACGGGGTTTGAACTGAATATTTTGGAAGAAAAAATGGTACGCCACTGCTTTTTCTAAAAACCAAAAATATTTTTGAAATCCTCATTTATTTTGGAGCTAATTTGGTCTTTAGACTTACTTTGGTACAATGCAATGTTTTTGCGAAAAAAGAATGAAAACCAAAAAAATTCCTTTTCTTAAGTTCAAAACTGCTTTTGATATTTTGTTGAAATTTGGTAAGCATTTGCGATGCGTGGAAATACTATTTGGTGCAAAATTTCATAAAAATGTCTGGAGTGATAAGAAAATTATGATAAAAAAGTTATTTTTTTCTTTAAACTGTAACACCCTGTAGCTCAAAAATTAAGAGGTTTACGACATGTGTTGATATTAACTTTTCTTCTTAAAATCACCCAAGGATTCACACCCTTAAGTATCGGCACTCGATTAATAAACACCCTGTAGAGCAACATATTGATTAAAATGTTGATAAGAATTAAAAAAGATGCCTAAGTTTAAATCATTGCACTTAATTTGAAGTAATTTACTTTATTTAATAAATGATACAAAACCAAAGTGTTTGATTATGGATTTTCAAGTGATTCAGAACATTTTTTAGTGAATAATTTTTTTGTGAAATTTATGATAAACTCCCATTTGTATAAAAAATTTTGGGACACATTGTATATTTTAATTGCAAAGTAGCATCTGGCATCTCAGTGCCTCCATCATAATAAATTTTGCAACCGTTCAAAATGTATAACAAACATGGAGTATATTGAAGAAAAATTCTTTTTGAAATATTTTATTGTTTTCCTAGTTTGTAACGGTTTTTTTTTTTTTTTTAGGTGAATAGGGCTGCTTGTCTGAGACGTCGAACGTACAGAGCCCATGGTAGAATTAACCCATACATGTCTTCTCCCTGTCATATTGAACTCTGGCTAACTGAAGGCGAATCTACCCCTGATCTTCCCAAGAAAACCAATAAAAAGAAGACAGCAGTGGATAAGAAGAGGCCTAAGGCCTCTGCTGCTGCAGTAGCGCATTGATTTTCCAATTTTATTTTTTATTTTAGGACGCTACAATAATTTATTCCCAAAAGTTTTTTGAGACTTTCTGAATAAATTACTATTATTAAATGTTTTTTATTATCCTATACCTAATTTTCTGACTTTACAGTATTTATTATAAGTTATTCATTTATAAATGAACAAAACAAATCTAAAACGGAGTTTGCTTTTTCATTTAATAAACTCTCCTGTTTTCGGTGGACGATCTATCCAGTTTGGAGCCACTCTAAAAGTGTTCTAAAATCTTAAAGTTCTGTAATGTATTAAATATATATTTTAGACATCTGAGTTTGAATAATTCTTGTAATTGTATACGAGTGCTCTATAATCTTTATATTTCATATTATTTGGTAATTGAGAAGCTAAAATTAATTCATTTACAGTCGCAAGCGTATTGTGGTTTTAAAAGCAGATTTCAATTAAGTTCTGTCGATATATTTATATAGAGCAGGTAGAGAAGTTTCAAAGGCGTTTCGTAGTTTTTCCATTGCGTTCGGTCTGCCAAGTTTCTTTAACGCTTTTTACTCCAAACGACCCTTTTAGCGTTCGGTTTAGTCCGATTAATGACAGTTTAACACGCTTTATGTCATTTAAAAGCACCCTAAAAACTCCGCTTTTGTTCCGCTCCAGGCCTTGAATATCCGAACTCGCCTTTCATGCACAGAATTTGACAGATCTGTCGCGGAGCTAACCAAAGTGAACGCGAAACATTGGCGTAGAAAATTATTTAATAGATTCTAATAACAATCTTGTAAATGGTTTAATAAATTGTGAATAACAGTAGAAATATGATTTGGAATATTACTTGCTTAGGGCCGATTCCATTGATGTGTTAAACGAAGTTTAAAATGACATTTTTACATTAACAATGTCATTTTAATCTCCGTTTAACACAACGGTGGAATCAACCCTTAAAAAATTATTTCTAACCCATAAATAGATACAATTCCGCCGGTAATACTTTAAATTTAAAATGTGTTATTTTTAATCTATGATACGACACTGGCGAACAAAGTCGTTGTCCGACGGTGTTTGACATTTACCATCTCTCCACCTACCAAAAGCCTTTCCTGCTAAAGCACTTTTATGTATAGTTTAATTATTGGTCAAATTATCTTCGTGTATTAAGAGATTCTACTCGAGCTAACTTCTGCTACCTGATGAGCCTCAAATAGGGTAAAACTGGTCGTGGAATGTTGGGTTCCTTAAATGCTAAATCAAAAGGTTTGATTTCTATGTCAATACAAAACGGCCGGACAATACCCAGACTAAAAATCAAGACTGAAAGTACGTGTCAATCATTCTATATTGTCATGTATATAAAGTACTGGCAAAAGCAAACATTTGGGCTTACTTTGCTTGAGTTAAATTGAATAATAAATACCGTTTGCATATGCACGATAAGAAACAACATGGTATCGGTGCGGAGCCATCCTCATGACTAACCTAACTGGCAACATCGACACTGTCTAAATACCCATGTCGCCCTAGAAAGGTTCTGTTAAAAACGGTAATTCGAGAATATAAATGCCCTCTATGAACGCGCCGCTACTGTCAATTCTATAAATTATTGTCGTACCTACACAAACATGTGGTTTTGGTCCTAATCCGGCCCTGTTAAAAGATCAGGAACAAAAAGAAAATTGTTTTTAAATTTGAAAATAATATATTTTTTAAATTCCAAAACTAAAAAAACCGCTTTATAATTTATATAGATTTTTTAATTAATTTGAAAAAGACGCCATTTCAGATATGACAGATAACAATTATATAAAATTCCATTGGCTATTAGATTCTTTCGTTCTATTCCTATTGGTTAACGTGTTGCTAGGAGTAAATATAAGGTTGTGATTTAAACAAGTTCATTAGTTTTATATTTATAAATACATTTTTTTAAAAGCTCTGTTATAATTTATTGGTTTTGATATAGGTATCATTGCAATTTATTTGGTTCGGTAAATTATCAAAAAGCAACTTTAACCAAATGAGTGGTTTTGAAATTAAAATAACGTCGATCTGTTTAAGCGCATTTTTTACACATACCTACCTTAATAACGATAAAAAATATTTTTTAGATAAATATTATGGTTAGGTATTTATTAATCGTGTTAATTAAATTTTTATCTTAAATTTAAATAATAGGTCTGTTCTGGTTTTGAGAAATAACGATCCACAACTGTCGGGCTCATGCGCAGTAGATAAAAAGTGTTCTGGTTTTTCTGGGACTACTTCGGATCTCTCAGTCCAGTGTTCTGGTTTCGTATCCGAAATAATCCGTGATTGTTGTAAACAGTCAAAAAGTGTTCATGCTTGGGAGTGTGGATCGACTCGGACTGTTTTGACCGCGCATGCGTTTTTGAAGTGTTACGAATATTGTATTGGCTTTTTAGACCATACGAAACGTATACAATCCCAAATTGTTTATTTATATGTGGACGAATGTCTCTTGTTCTTGTTTTATTTGTAAATTAAAGCAATTTTAGAATCATTAATTTTTTAATATTCTGTTTTTATTTATTCCATTGAAATGTGATGATAATGATAAACATATACATGCAAATGTTATTTGAAGCTGAGCTTTCAAAAGGAACTTCATTATTATAATAAACAATAAACAAAACACCTTCATGACGTGTTCTGGTTTTCCAAGAATTTCAAACAGTCAGGGATTTTTTGCCTTTACGCATACGGTCCGGCGCAGTTTCAAAACAGTCTTCATTTTGAGAACCAGAACAAACCTAGTGCTGACTAATTTATAGGTTAGGAATATTTGGATTTCCGATTTTGAGGTTGGCTAAAGTGATCGTTGGTCATGTTGAAAATTTTGACGTTCTTTTCTTTAGTCTACAAAAACATATGCATGCTGATATAAAAATAGTGTCTCTGGGGTAAATATTTGAAAAATTCCTAATTTTACAATAAATTAGTTTAGTGCTGGCATGGCTATTTATTCAGAAAGTGACAGTTTTTAAACATCCTGAAGGAATCCTTGACTATCCTAGGTTGAAAAGCTACTAAAAATATGAGTGAAAATACTGTTAATAGTGCCCGCAGACCAAATTTTTCTAATATTCCTCAAAATGGGATCAACAGAAACATTAATTTAATAAACATTAAGCCCACTGCAAAGAAGCTGGTAATTAAAAACCTAAAGAGTAAGTCATTTTTTGTTTTTATAATAAGTTCAAGCACAGTAATGTTAAAAATATTATTTTAGGTGAGCCAAAACTTCCGGATGATTATCGTGAACAAACATGGGAAAAACTGAAAAGCGCTGTGCTTGCTATTCAGCAATCCAAGCCAAATCAGTATTCTTTGGAGGAATTATATCAAGCTGTAGAAAATATGTGCAATCATAAAATGGCCCCAACCCTTTACACTCGATTATACAATTTAACAGAAAACCATGTATCCCATAACATTGAACAATTTTTAGCGGAATCCATGGACCGTTTTCTCTTTCTCAAGAAGATGAATGATACTTGGTTGGCACATTGTAATCAAATGATAATGATTAGAAGCATATTTCTATACCTAGATAGAACGTATGTCCTCCAAAATCCCAATATTTCCTCCATTTGGGATATGGGTTTAGAGTTATTTAGTAAATACATTATCTTGAACACTTTAGTTCAAACTAGAGTAGTAGAAGGTCTGTTAATGCTGATAGAAAAAGAGAGACAAGGTGATAAAGTAGATAGAACTTTACTAAAATCTCTTCTAAGAATGCTTACTGATCTACAAATTTATGATAAGGCGTTTGAGCAAAAGTTTTTACAGTCCACAGAGCGTCTGTATGCATCAGAGGGACAAAGACTTATGCAAGAATTAGAAGTTCCTGATTATTTAGCTCATGTAGATAAGAGAATTCAAGAAGAAAATGAAAGAGTTATTCACTACTTAGATTCTGGCACCAAGTATCAATTAATACATACAGTGGAAAAGCAGTTACTTAGTGAACATGTCTCAAATGTACTTCAAAAGGGTCTGGATCAACTTTTAAACGAGAATAGAATTTCAGATTTGACTCTCCTCTACCAATTATTGAGTAGAGTCAAGAATGGCCTGGCAGAACTTTGTACTTCATTCAATGCTTACATAAAGAAACGAGGAAAGACTATTGTCATTGATCCTGAAAAGGATAAAACTATGGTTCAAGAACTGTTAGATTTTAAGGATTGTATGGATAATATAGTAGGTACATGCTTTAATAGAAATGACAAGTTTGGCAATTCTCTTAAGGAGGCCTTTGAACATTTTATCAATCAGAGAACCAATAAACCTGCTGAACTTATTGGTAAGTACTATTATTAAATTTAAAAATTCTAGCAATCATTTAAGTTGTATACATTGGGCATGTTTAGAAAACTCATTTTATTTGCTTAGCTAGTCTGACTTTGTCTACAAAAACACTGCAGGCAATTAATCTGTTGTTATCATTGTACCACATACAAGTCCTTTATTGAGTATTTAAATTTTGAAAAAATATAACATGAAAATCAGTACAGTTATACTAAAAGCTTTTTAAAAATATGTAACTTACTCTCAGAAATAAATAAAACCCATTTTTTTTATCTTTAACATCCTGTAGCTCGAACAAGAAGCAGGGTTTAATTGACAAGCTGTTATTTTTAACATTGTAAACAGGTTATTTTTCTGTGGGTTTGTAAATAACCTATCCTCTTAAAAACAACACAGGTTGTCAAAAGCACGTGGATATTGATATATCGAAATTTCCATCTTTTTCTAATAACAGCATTAATGATTTAATATCTCTTTCCAAAATTTAAGATAAAACTAGTTCTATGACAAACTCAGGACAATCACAAAAGAGATAAGGTGAAAAAATGTGAATAAATGAAAACAAGAAATTCTCCAAACCATGTGTCAAGTAATATTTTGTGACTCATTGCTTAGAGACTTTATTGTTATCAATTATTTTACTCCTTGGTTACATTTGAGTTTGGAATTTTCCTTTTTGAAAAAAAAAAAAAAAAAAAAAAAAACTGATGCTATGAATAACATTCAGAGGTAAATTTAAGTTCATTTGTGCTCTAGGGTCATTCCGATTTGACATCCTGCTTATTTTGTGGTGGAATTTATTAGTTTAAAATTGACAGAATCAATATGGTGAATCATTTAAACAGTAAGGAATAAAAAAATCCATGGCATGATTATTTAATTTTGAATTAATATTTTTGTTTTATTAGACAAACAGGCAGACATTTTACTTATAGTTTTGATCATTGAAAAATTAATTTTATGAAGATTTTAGCAATATGACTATTCATTGCGTTATTTAAGTCATTAAATAACTAATAAAATTATCTTTCAAAAGAAGTGTCACATTTTGCAACACGTAACTGTTTTTATCCCGCTAGAGGGCGCTAAAATCAAAAGTAACGTAATGGAAAATCATTACTGAATTCTCATTAAAATTATCTTTTTAATGTATTATTTGGCCCTATATAAATTGTATTGGTTAGAGTGGCGGAGGTGAGGGGAATGACATAGAACATTTGAGAATATGAAAGAAAGATATCCTTGTTTGAACAAAATGGAACTGAGTGCTTGTTTAAAATGTAGTAGTTCCTGACATCAGATGTTTTGTTTTCATCTGGCTACTCTGTATATGTATATACGGAATTTTCAACACTACATACCATTTCGTTTAGAAATAATTTATAATTTATTTTCTTTTACAATTAAATAACACTTATTAATATACCTATATAAACAGGGTGACAATTTAAAAACGTACATCATTTAATGTTTTTCTTTAACTGATTTTACTATGAAAATTTGGCTAAACTCTTCAATTTACAACAACTGTTGAGATATTTGTTGTTGTATTCCAATCAACCCTCTCACTCCCAGGATATCTACCACTAAAGTTTTAAATAGCAACTTATTTCGCCATGTTTGAAATTCTTATGTAATTTTAGATAGTTATATCTATTTTTAATTTTTTTTTTTGTCAATATTGAAGTACTTAATCTCGCGAATGTATGAAATGTATTGATTTGAACTGGCAAAATATAAATAAAGGAAAAAAATTCAAATGTACTTTTCTATTAAATATTTTTAAATGAATGGCTGTAACGGCACAGTGAACACAACTCCTTTAAAACTTGTATTTTTTTAATTTGATAAATTAAATACATTATATACATTCGCGAGGTTAAGTATGTAAGTACTTCAATTTTGAAAAAAAAAATGCAACTTATTTAGAATTAAAAATGACGAAATAAGTGGGGGTTGCTATTTAAAATGGGGGCGAGAGGATTGAATGTAATACAACAACAAATATCTCAAAAGTTGTCACCCTTGATATGTAAATTGACTGTTTTGTCAAATTTTCATAGTGTCCAGTTAAAAAAATATTAAAAGCTGATCAATGTAATATTTAGATAATTATAACTTTCTTTTTTCTCGAGATATTTTCAAATTAATCAAATATGCGTGACAAGAAAGTGCTCTCTCCCTGATATGTGCATGTTCCTTGTTCAACTTATTGTAAGGTATATTATCAATGTTGAAAATTTCGTGCCCATACATATACATACATAATAATGTATCAACATTTTTTCCCTTTATTGTTTGTTACACTAATATAAGTATGAACAAGTTTTTAACATTTACTAAATCCAATTCCATCAAATGTTTAATTTGCAGCAAAATTTGTGGACTCGAAGCTACGTGCTGGCAACAAAGAAGCCACTGAAGAAGAGTTAGAAAGACTTTTAGATAAAATAATGGTGCTTTTCCGGTTTATTCATGGTAAAGATGTGTTTGAAGCTTTCTACAAGAAAGATCTTGCTAAAAGATTGCTAGTGGGCAAGTCAGCTAGTGTTGATGCAGAGAAAAGCATGTTAAGTAAGTTAAAGCAGGAATGTGGAGGAGGATTTACATCAAAGTTAGAAGGAATGTTCAAAGACATGGAACTTAGTAAAGATATTAATGTGGCCTTTAAACAACATTTGAATGTGAATACTCGTAACTTAGCTCAGATAGATATGACTGTGAATATACTTACAATGGGTTATTGGCCTACTTATCAAGCTTCTGAAGTAACACTTCCTGATCAGATGGTTAGATTCCAAGATATATTCAAAGATTTCTACTTAAGTAAACACAGTGGTAGGAAACTTCAGTGGCAACCTACTTTAGGACACTGTGTCTTAAGAGCTACATTTAAAACTGGACCGAAGGAGCTTGTAGTTTCTTTATTTCAAACTTTGGTCATATTAATGTTCAATAAGTATGATGAAGTCAGTTTTGAGTACATAAAGGCAGCTTCAAATATTGAAGATGGTGAGTTAAGAAGAACTTTACAGTCCTTGGCCTGTGGGAAAGCTAGAGTTTTGAATAAAATTCCCAAAGGAAGGGACATTGACGACTGCGATAAGTTTAGATTTAATAATGAATTTACCAATAAATTGTTCAGAATTAAAATTAACCAAATACAAATGAAGGAAACTGTAAGTTATTTCAATAATTTACAATCTTTTGTGTTGAATAATGTTATTTTTTTAGACTGAGGAACAAAAAGCAACAGAAGAAAGAGTTTTCCAGGATAGGCAGTATCAAATTGATGCTGCAATTGTGCGTATCATGAAAATGAGGAAAACACTTAGTCATAACCTGCTTATTAGTGAACTTTATTTGCAGCTTAAATTTCCTGTCAAGGTAAGCCATTTTATGCTTATTTTAAACTTTATAAAGAACATTTTGTTTTTATGTGTAGCCTGCAGATTTGAAAAAACGTATTGAGTCCCTTATTGATAGAGACTACATGGAAAGAGACAAAGACAACCCCAACCAATACAACTACGTCGCTTAAGATGCTGCTATTGTTCTTGTTCTACAACTAGATTGTCTTAAAAACACTTTCTGAAGGAAAATTTCTAGTCCAGTGAAAAATTCTGGCCTTGCTCTACATTGTAAATAAAATTACTAAGTTTAATTTATTTGCAAAAAATGGTTTTGTACTAGATGTTCTAGGTGATTATTTTGACTTTGAATTGAAAGTACAAAAAGTTTTGTCAGTCATAAAGGTTGTACAATGAAACAAGTGGTTTTGTTAATGAGGAGTTATTATAAAAGGAGCACTTTGTGTAAATTATTTTATTTTTTTTAATTTTGTGTGATCATGATAAAAATTTAGTATTCCTACCATTTTCACATCTTTTATTAAAACGAATAAACATACCCATAATTTTCCTTAGTTAACAAAGTTTGCACAATTCAAATATGTATTTTTAATTAATTTATGAAAGTAATTTATAATACGTATATTAAATTTTTGCTCTTGAACCTGTGAACGTTTCTTGTAAAAAATAATTTTATATTTAAATACTCACCATTTTTGCGAACTTTGTAATATGAAAAAAATATCTTATTTTTCAAAATTATAAGTTTTATAAATTACATTCATATATACAGGGTGTTTCCGAACTTGCCGTCCAAATTTGTATTGGTGGTAGTTCGCATAATTTGAGACCGATTCGCAGATTTCATTTTTCCAAAATATTAAAAATAAAAATAATTAAAAATTATAAACAGGTACGGTCCTGCACAGCGGTCGGACGCCTCGACTCGCGCGCGCTACACTTAGAATCGACAAAATTGCAAATCGCATCTGTTTTTGAGGACTACTGCGCTACTCGCTTAGGGTAGGACCTGCTCTTTGATTTTTTTATAATGGCTCTATTTTGTTTATTATAATTTTTTTAGAAAAATGAAATCTGCCAATTGCTCTCAAATTGTGTGAACTACAACCCCTACAAATTTGGACGCCGTTCGGAAACACCCTGTATATCTTTTTTATTTTTTTCTAATGTACTTTATCAAACTTAAAATTTAGATTATGATTATTTATGTGTAATTTTGATGTATACTTTGAAATGATTAGGAGACTCCTTGCAGACAAAGATAGATTGTTAAACATTGTGTATTTATGAGAGAATAAGTGATGACAGATTATTCATTTTAATTTGCTTGTGGCAGATGAAATATGAAGTCCAACTAACTTTCCCCCTCCCTTTGAACTTTTTTGTTTTTATTTTTTTTTAAATAAAACTTAACAGTGCGCTTTACCTGTTAAAAAAAGGTCAGAAATAATCTATTTTCATTATATTTGTATAGTTTAATTCATTTGATTGAATTTGTAGGTTTTGTATTTAATAATGAATAAAATCTGATTATAAAACCAACATGTTTTAGTACTTTTTGCATAGGTAATATATATTTAAATTTGACATAATGTGGGACAGACATGAAAACACTTCATTTCAGCTGATAATTTATATACTTAATTAACTATTAAGAAGATTTGCATTTACAATTCGTTAAAAAATAATATAGTGCTGACAAGATCAAACCATCAGTCCCACTTTGAGTGTATTGGCGTTTGCATATACAAGAGAGAAAAAAGTAGTGCATGTGTGAATGCCATTTACTATTCACCCCAAAGCTGTACTGAATGTTTGAACTTACCAGCACTCTATATGCTCTATACATCACTCATTGATTATATCACTGGAATATTTTATTGGATAATATGATATTTAACAATTTTCAATGAACTAGTGACTATGCTTTTGTGATAAATTTCAAATTGTTTAAGGACTGTACAATCTATTTATTGGGAGGTTGAATTTCCATTGTTTTGCAAACCCATCCTGCTATATCAACATCTTCACACTCTGCTTTTCTTATCCAAGCATGATTCTACAAAAAAAGTAACGAAAAATATTTTTTTTTATAAAAGTACCAACATTATTACCATTAACGTTTTAAGGTCTGCTCTTTCATCTGGGTTTTTCCTCAAGCATCTATCCACAAAATCTTTAAAATTATCTGTAAATATGCCTGAAGGTAGCTTAGGAGGTGGCTCATTCACAATGTAATCAAGAAGTTCAAATATTGCCATAGGTCGGGGCCCTTTTGTGTGATCAGGAGAATCGCTATCATTGTTAGGCCCAAAAATTGAGGCCAAAGTTTTTGCATCAGGTGGGGGAATAGGATACATGCCAATTGCCATTTCTACTAGGGAAAGACCAAGTGACCAGATATCACTTTGTACTGAATAATGGGTTCCTTGCAATCGCTCTGGCTAAAATTAAAAAATATATATATAAAAAATACACCCATACAAGAAGCCTAGCATGAGTGTCTGGTTGTAGGGCAAGGGGAGGGCGGTCATTATTTTTTATGTAACTTTTAAAGTAATAAAGTTGATTAATTTGAAGATTGCCCCTGTTTTTTTATGAGAATGCCCAGTAAGCCTAGGTTTCAGTATTAGATTATTAAATCTGTATTAATGTAATTTATAATTAAAACTTAATTGCACAATTCCATTAAGTCTAATTATGTGCTAATATTTTTTTTTACTTTTGTATTTATTTTGGTATTTCTTGCTTGACAAGTGACACTATTAATTGTCAAAGTTAGGAGATATTTTACTGTAACCTGGCATACAGGTTGGGCATGTGTTTAGCTTAACAAAAAATTGATTAAAACATTTTTTTGCTTGTATATTTGATAAGTTTCGTGTTAAATTTAAAAATTTGTGATAGGTACCTAATTAGTTTAATTAATAGTGTATCCTGCAGTTTAATGACAATCACCTATTCAGTTACTGAAAAAACCATTCAACAAAACAACATACTGGTATGTATAAATTGGTATATGTGTTTTTTATAATAACCACTGATACTTTTTTTGTCAGTTTATCAATCTAATTAAAATATATTGTATATTCACTTATTCATTATTTGTCTAAACATCTTGCAGATACAATCACAAAAATCTTAAACTGTTATTAGGCATTTTAACGACCTGTCAAATAATAGCTGCTGGTGGGTATGGCTTTTATATATAAGGGTGTTACAACATAGCCTTTCACATTGGACGCTATTTTTATTCGAAATAGTAGTAGCCAATTTATGAAAAATGTATAAGCAGTTTTATTTTCATTGTGTTCAACATAAAATATATGTTACAACCCCTTAGATATACCTACCCTTCCAACAAACAGCTATTTGGTTTGTAATGCCTAATTGTACTTACAGACATGTAACTTCTGGTTCCAACAAAAGAATTAGCCATAGAATCTATCAACTGTCCAGACACACCGAAATCACAAATTTTTATCTCACCAGAACTGTTGATAAGAATATTGCTAGGCTTTACATCTCTGTGCATAATAGCATGTTTATCTCTTAAGTAACTTAGACCTTTTAGAACTGCAAAAGTAATTTTCCCCAAAATATTTTCTGGAATTCTACCAGCTTTTTTTAAAATCAAGTCTAAAGACCCTGCATCCATGTATTCCATACATATGCTTATTTCACCATCACTGTAAAAGGCTCCATAAAAGCCTACAATGTGTGCAAAGTTGCATTTATGTAATACTTTTAGTTCTCGAATGATCTGCTTTTTTATTGCAGGTTTAACCTCAAGGTGTATTAGTTTTCTAGCCATTATCAGACCGCTTCCTTTGTGACGGACTTTGGTAACAACTCCACCATTTCCAGAGCCCAATTCTCCTAGTTTCTCGAAATCATCATCAGAAAACTCTCCACCAATCTTTTCCTTTTGACAGAGGAAAACTTCTATTCGTTTTCTTTGTGTATCATCCATTTCAAGGGTTGAATCTAATTCCTCTAATCTTGCGGTTAAGTTTTCTATACTATTCCCTCTTATTAAATTAGTAGCACTAAAACAAAAAGTAATTAAGCAATAATATTAAAGATGATTTAAAATTTACTTACACGGGTGTTTCTTGAAATGAAGACGTTGGTGTTACTGTTGGATTTAAGTCTATTGCACCTGGAGGTAGTGTGAGGTTTAATTTATTTTTCGACATTGTAATTATGTATTTCTTAGTTTACATTCCTATGTTATTGGTTTATTGACTAAAAAATTGTGTTTAGGATACAATTAACTACTCCAAATTTCTTATTACTACGATCACAGACTAATTTGTAGGATTTAGAACGTTTGTATCACTATTTATCTTTAAGTTATGAAATAAAGGCAATTTAATTTGTAATTCAATCAATTTTAACCCGTTTAACCTAAATAGGGAGTGACTACCGTACCTACCATTGCATCTTGTACCAATGGCATACATTTATATAGATTGCTCATCGTAAATATATAAATCGGACGTCAAAATGAGGGTCTCTTTTGCCGCGTTTGAGAATCCACATCGGATGCATTTTTTACATCTCGAGCGTTTTTTTATCCACATCGGACACATCTGTCCCATTACATTTGCGTATACTGAATCACGTGATCAAAGATTTTTTACATCTCAGATGCATCCGATGTGGATTCTCAAACGCAGCATTTATAATAATGCATAAATATTTATGTTTTATCTCAATTGTATGTATTTATGCCAACAAAATAATAACTATTTGTTTATTAAAAGCAGAAAGTGCTACTTTTCCGCTTGAGATTAGAAGGTGCCAGCGGAGTGCGGCATTTTATCGTAAGCGGCAAATAGCTTTCAAGTCGAATTACATCCAAAATTTTTTCTATAATCACAGGATATTATCAGCTGATATTATATACCAAAATAAAATTTTACTTCAATGTTATGTTGAGTCACCGTTATCCAAGCGTGTGTTATGACTGTTATGTGTATGCTGTGTTGCATACTTACCTGCAGATTGAAAAAGGACTAATCTATTTTTAATATTTCAATTATCGTTTAAATATTAAGGGAAATGGGTTTGATATTAGATGTTCAACTAAAATATCCAGATTAGTCTTCATTTTGTTTTAAAATACCTATTAGATTTAATATTGACTACCTTTTCTAATAAAAAGTAACTTTTAACGTGCGCAAATAATGTCAAATTATGGCAAATTGCGGAAAAAGTCAACTTTCCAGTTACATTTGAATATGCAGAAGCCTACATTAATTGTATAGTAATCGTAAAAAAATATATTTTCAAAATGCTCAAGATGTTTATAGCAGCAAGAAAAATAGTCACAACGTCTATAACGACCTCTCCAAATTGGGTAGATCGCCCTCTTCTATTTTGTAAGCACTACTCAGTACGGTTTTCGCAGACAAAAATCCACGATCGATGCGGTGGAAGAAATAATGAGATTAACAAAGAATCGTCCATTTTCAACAAAAATGGACATATAATATTTGTCCTCTTAGCCAACATATGATCATGTCTTGAAGTAAAAATTAAGGTTATCATTGTTTTACTATTATATTATTACTAATATTCATCTGAAATTTGATTTGGGCCAAAACGATTCTGTTCAGTGAACACTGGAAAGGCAATATGGCCGCGCGCAGTGAGGCCTGCTTTTTATCATCTTATTTAAATATGGCTGAGCTATCTATATAACATTGACTTATTAGGTCTTTTCCTTTGCATCGAAAGTGTAGCACTGGGCTACACCAATTCTGAAAATATCGTTCCATATATACAAATTGTATGGATGGAACGATATTTTCAGAAGTGACGTAGCTCATTGCTACACTTTCGATGCAAAGGAAAAGACCTATTAGAGAGTTTTAGCAAATGTACGTAAGATTTCCGCTAACGTTACGTTAAACTTAGATTGTGACCTTTCTCATAAACATTGAACAGAGTAGATTACAGTCTATCCCTAAGGTAACGTTAGCGGATGGTTAGCGGCTGTTTGCTAAAACTCCCTATTATTGTCAATCTGTCCCACTGTCTACGTGCTGTTTATTAATATGCGTTACTTTTATTGCATCGAGCATCGAGGAATTTCAAGTGCTTCATGCATAATTCAAATGTAGATATACCCAATGCTCTGTAAAAATTTAATTAAAAATACGTGCCATGCATTGGATATTAGCTCCGTTTGCGGTAACAATCCTGAAGTGATTCCGAACGCTAAGGCAAAAATTACACTACATATTATAACTGGATATATTGTATAAATGGTATTGTAGGTGTGTATGGTCTACCTTAGTGTTTAGAATACGTTCTGGATCGGCTCCGCGAACGAAGCTATTAAAACACCACCTCTAGAATCAGAATCATTGATTGTCAATCAGTGTTAAGAATCGAACAAACATTTACGTAAAATCAAAATCAACGCAATCTTATTTTGACGTTTAGACCAATATTTAACATCTGGGTCGATATTTATATTTTTTTTATTTTTAAAATGAATGATCAATCAAAAAAGTTAAAAAATCCCTTATTTAGTGCTTTTGTGACTGGTGGAACGTTCGAGGATTTTTCTCAAAATGCTATATTGCTGCCAGCGAAAGAAAAACCACCTCCTCCCACTTTAAATTTATCCCATGGTAAGTATACTGTTACATTTTTTAACTATTATGAATGTTAATATTAAAACAAACGTAAAAACTCATTTTATTTAATTATTTAACGAGGTTATATAAAATACATCTAATTTCTAATATTTGAAGGAGTTAAAAATGAGTTAAAAGTTGACAAGAGATGGTTTTGACAAAATCAAACTCAATGGTATTATGAAACAGGTAAATTATAGTAAAATTTGTTAAAATATAGCACATTTAAAATTGCAATTAAATCCTTAACTATCACAATTTTTCTGTTAGCTACTAATTTATGATTTTAACTATTTTTTATTGGATGGAGCTTAATACTGTTTGCTTCTAACCCGTCCTTTTCATGCTCAGGTATTTTACAAATCAATTTGATAATAACTAGTGGAATGAAAAGAAATAAAAGTCTTTGTTGGTGGTTAGTACCAAAACTTTTGTTCATCTCTGATATTGTTAATTAGTTGTCATATACGCCCGCCTCGGTATGTTGGAAGATTATAATCTTCTCTCTTTTTTAAACATCTTCTAATAAGGTATACAATCAGCACAATGAGTAAAATAAACAATATTATTCCTAAAATTACTGCTGCTATTTGCCCTGGCCCCCACATGGCACCTAAAAAGAATATTTTTTATTATTAAAATAAAAAAAAAACAATTTATTTTTTTTCGTACGGTAAGCATTTGCTGTAACTGTCCGCCTGTTGTTAGCCCTATCAACGGCTGTTAGTTGTAAATCAGCATTACAACAAGAATCACTGTATGTACCACTAACTTCTTCTTTGGTACCTGTTGTAAATCCATTTTTAAAATATAACCCTTTAGGAACTGATGTTAATTGCAGTAAACCTAGAAAATAATTCCAAAAGTTGTAAAAAATATAAGGTAGGGATACACTAGAGTAGAGTCTGTTCCATCAGATAAAAGTACAGAGGCGTCATAGATTATGGCAGTCACAGAAACAAAATTTTGACTTGTCTGTAGAATAAATATATTATGTTGAGCTATACTACTTGCTCACCAAAACATAATCTCAAAACTCATAATCGATTTATGAATATTTTATTAGCATGTTTGATCCAATCCTCATATTTTGATCCAAACAACCTGCGCTTACTCTGTGTCCAAATAGTTATGATTCACCCTGTATATATAATTAAAAACACTATTTTATAAAGTAATTTTGTGTTGATCTACAAAAATGCAAAAATCAAAGTTAACATTCTTAATGTTTAATGACTGTACAAGTTTCTATAAGTGAGACCTGAGGAAAAAGACCATTTGTTGCATGCAAAGTATTTTTATCTGTGACATTTTGTGTTTGAAAGTGTGTAAAAATGTACCTTGAAATCACAAAAGATTATTGTTTCTTTGATCTTTTTTTCTCCTCAAATGTACAGACTACTTAGAAAACTTGTTTAGCATAAGTTAATGCTTGAAAATAATAACAATAAATTAAGCTTTTGTCATTCTGGAGGAGAGAACTTAAAATACAGAAAAGTAATGATTTTATCAGTTTCTAATATTTAAAATACTAGAACTTCCAAGTATCAAACAATAACAAGGAGATCCTTGGCTTGAATATTACTCTTCCTAAAAACCGTTTCATAAATCAACCAATCCCAATAGAACCCCATCCGGAGATATAAGTTTTTAAAGTAGACACAATCGACTATTTTCTTCCTAACCCTTTGTTCTAGTTAATATAATTTTGTGAAACTTATTACCCTAGGGTTTTTTGGGTCGCTGAGTACCACGGTGTGAAAAATTTAAAATTCAAAATGACGGATCCAATATGGCGAACGGAATTTTTAAAAAGCAAAATGCAAGATTCAAAATGATGCATTGAATATGGCGGACGGAATTTTTAAAAGTCAACCGGATTCGCTTTAAACGTGTCTCTGGTGTTTTTGGACTCGCTGATTACGAATCCGATGTCAAAAATGCAAGATTCAAAATGGCAGATCCAATACATGGCAGACCGTGAATGAAAACTTATTGCAATTTACATGAAATTTGGTATCTTGGTTTTTTTTGAGTGGGGGATCTTGATAAAGAAGTGGATGACAATAATAATATTGAATAAGTCGTAATTGATTAATAAGTTTTATTAAGGGCCATTTTTAATTTCACGCTCGATCGATAATTTTTTAATTTTGTCGGCTGCCATGTTGGATCCGCTATTTTGTAATTATAATTTTTAAAGTGCTATTCAAAATTAGCGTCCTCGAAACGCCCTTAGAAACCCTCCAGGTTTCATTTTTATGCAAAACAAGCAGTTTTTAATATTTTCGGGAGCCTTCCATATTGGATCCGCCATTTTGCAATATCTAGTTTTTAATATCATATTCAAAATAAGCGACCCCCAAAAACCCTGATATACAGGGTAAGTTCGGTTTGGAACTCGGCGGATCGGACAGAGCGCGCGCGCCGCGCATGGAGTGCGTGACGTCATAGACAGAGTTCGCTCTTTTTGAAATCTCAAAACGAACACAAGGGGAATGACAAATGACACTAGTGTTAGTTTGCACTTGAATACACTTTTGTGTGTATATATCGACTGTAAAAAGTAATTTTAGTTAAATAGAAAATAGGTAGTTACAACGAAAACAAACCAGAAATAATACGTGTAAAACTGATTAATCGCCGATCAGAATATTGACTTTTGACATTTTTGACACATTCCTACAAATACCCGCTGACCTCCATCGGCCAACTCGGGGAAGAGAGAGCGCGCTCTGAGTACGTGATCTGTGGCAAGCCGAACACAATTGAGGCATACCGAGTGCACTCTGAATACAGCGAACGCCAATCCGAACTCATCCACAGATAACGAATCTTTGATATTTTAGCCAAAAAATAGGCTAAACCTCTCATAGTTTACTGATTTATCACATTTACAATATGGCGCCGACTATGAAGATACTTTAGCCCACACCGCGGTGACGCTGCTGTACTTTTCTCTAATGGAACAGACTCTACCTTTGATACCTCGTTTATAAGCGTATTTAAATCTCAAATCTATTAAACAAAGATAACACGAAACTTTGATTTCAAAGGTCAAGTTCTTGAATGTTTCTTATTTTTTAGTATAATTTTGTTAAATGTATTGCGTAATTTAAATACATCATTAGGGTCAATTTTTTAAATTCCTGGGTCAGTGTTTAAATCATTTATTTACTATTGATTTATCCATTGATTTAGGGCGAGGTATACAAATTAATTATATAGTTACATATTAAAAGAAAAATACATAATAAATGATAAATTAGAACATTAAGACCAAATCATCTGCAGTTATCATCTCTCAATACATGTTACTTTATGTCTTACTTTTATACAAACAAAATAACATTGAACATTACCTGAATCGGTATCTTTAGCTCTTGCTTCAATAGTCCAAGTCCCTTGATCACAGCTCGAAAATATTACTTTAGAACAATCACTTAAGTAGGAATAATCCAAAGAAGGTAAAGTGTGATCAGTAGTAACCTGTGATGACATACCTACATCTACAATAACCTTTTTTTCGACATATTCTGATCCTACCGAGGCTGTGAAAGTTATTAAGTCTTGATAAGTACCATATCTACTCGTTAAAGTTAAAGTTACTAGAGTTGTTTCTTGTGGAGCAAAGACTCTCCTAAAAAAAGTGTTTTGAAATGATATGCATGAAAAAAGTTTTATTTTTTACCTACCTGTAAGGTTGCATGCTTCCTAATATAGATTGTTCGTCTCTGCAGTAAAATCTTACATCTGCAGCCTCACTTTTTAAGTTTGTTACTTCAAATGTTATTATTGATGGTCTACCACCAGTTATTATGAGTTCAGAATTCAATCCTACATCTACGGATAAAATTGGTTGTGGAAACGCATTATTGTTATAATTCTTTTCGTTTATATAAGTTAATCTGGAAAAATGGTTCCCTAAAAAAATATATTTTAGTTCATATGCAGTAGTTTTTTTTTTGAAATTTTTACCTTTTGTATCAGTTCCTTGTACAAGAACTTGAAAAGGCTGATCAGGAAGTTGATCAATTTCAACATCAATATCTTTATTAAATCTATCATTGTCCTTCACTAAGAATCCCTTCATGACATCGTATTTTAGTTCATTTTTTAGCAAATGTCCCGTACTGTCAATGAAAGTAATATTATTTACAGTACCTAAACGTCCAGTGAAGTCCAATTTTAGTATTTTCTTTTTATTCTTGTCCAAATTGTTACCTTAAACATATGTTGATTTCTAAATAATCCTAATCGAGTAAGCCAATTAACAGATTTAAAAAAGAAACGTTTGTCAAGATTATAAAAAGAGATCAAATACATCTATTACTATAAATACATCAAAAATACAGTGCAAGAGATTGTGCAAAATTATTGTTGCAATTATTTGGTGCACCGTGTATAAAATCAATGATAAATATTATCAAAAATTATGCATTAGTATGATGGACGTAATATTTTGAAAATATGATTTAACGGACAAAATAAAGATGTTTTCTTTGAGTATTTCATAAATACAAGCAAGGTCAAAAACGTAAACTACATTATGTGACGCATTGTACAAAGTTTATAATTATAAACGTGCCACAAACCGGCTGTTTTATTTGATAAATAGTAGCTGTCCAGTGTTAGTTTAAATATGTCGATCCTACTTGATTGGTAAGTAGATTAAACTCGTCTTTAATATTATTTACTTTAGAATTATATCAAATCGGTAATCAACAAACAGTAGTGTCACGGTCGGGACTCCAGCCATCCATAAATTTAAGATAAAATTAAAATTTTGTATATTATATAGAAACATTTTGTGTGCTTAGTTATGAATGATGTCGAGTATTTCTAGGTAAGTCTTTAAAAATCTATAATATTCAAAATTATGCACAACTGAATGTCTTATATAATTTGAATAATATAACAATCTTACGTAATTTTTATTTTTAACATTTTTTTTTTTTGTGTATTAGAAGCTCTTTTATAAAACAGATATTAACAAGAACATGAATGGTTGGTTATAATTTTGTCTTTTGAGTGGTATTACCTACCTATGTATTAATCATAGCTCCAATAGTTTTCCATACTTTAAAACAACTTTTAAATTATTGTTTTCACTCGTTTCGGCTTGATTGCTTATATTATGGTGGATAAAATGTAATTAATAAAAAATAATTAGTCCTTACTTGGCTTACTCATGTTTTATTTTGTACTTTAAGTTTTATATATTTTTAAAATATTAATTTGTAGTTACACCTATAATATTCGAAAATTTTAGTTTTAGAAGCGGCATACGTTTGACCACCTATTGACCATAAGATTAACCAATTTTTGACCATGTTTGACCACCATTTAGATTTTTTTTAACACCCCCTAAAATTATAAATTATAGAAAAACAAGAGTTCTGGGATGAATTTCAACTTTGAAAGATAGATCAATGGTTAGAAAGGAACAGTAGGATCCAAAAACGTTTAAAATTTTGTATCGCCGTTTGATCACTCCCTAAAATATCCTAAAAGACCCCAGAGGGATTAAAAATTCAAAGAAAACATTTCCCAATCCAATTTCTAGTTCAAAAAAATGGCAAATCGACATAAGGACATAATAAATATCCAATTTGGAAAGGGCATTTTGACTTGGAAAAATTTAGAAACACTAAAACTATTTTAGGGGGTGGTCAAACATCAAAACATAATTTTATACCATTATGGGGCCTTATTGTGCATTTATGTCGTTTGAACATTTTTTCCAAGCCGAAATTCGATTTTCAAATTTTATTTTTCGAATTTTCACAATACTTGGAAACTTTAAAATTATTTTAAGGGGTGGTCAAACGTTAAAACATATTTCTAAATCGTTATGGATCTTTATTGTAAACGTATGTCCTTTGACCATTTTTTCCAAGTGGAAATTCGATTTCCATATTTTATTTTTCGAATTTTCACACTACTTGGGCACATTAAAATTATTTTAGGGGGTGGTCAAACGTCAAAATTTAATTCTAAACTAGCATAGATCTTTATTGTGTACTTATGTCGTTTGACCATTTTTTTCAAGTCAAAATGCCCTTTCCATATTGTATTTTTCGAATTTTCACACTACTTAGGAACACTAAAATTATTTTAGGGGATGGTCAAACGTCAAAACATAATTTTAAACCTTTATGGATATTTATTATGTCCTTATGTCGATTGACCATTTTTTTGAACTAGAAATTGGATTGGGAAATGTTTTCTTTGAATTTTTAACCCCTCTGGGGCCTTTTAAGATATTTTAGGGAGTGATTAAACGGCAATACATTATTTTAAACGTTTTTGGATCCTATTGTGCCTTTCTGATCATTGATCTATCTTTCAAAGTTGAAATTTATCCCAGAACTTTTATTTTTCTATAATTTACCCCGTTTAAATTATTTTAAGGGGTGTTAAAAAATCTAAGGGGTGGTCAAACATGGTCAAAAATTGGTTAATCTTATGGTGCAGTTAGTTTTAAAAAATATTAACTTCGGGGGGCCAGCGGACACTCAGCCATTAATATTTTTTTAAATATTTAGATTTCTGAGGGTGGTCAAAAAAAGTTAATGGGTGGTCAAACGTATGCCGCTTCTAAAACTAAAATTTTCGAATTTCGGGGGGCCAGCTTCACAGAGTTATAATATTGGTAATGTTTATGAAGTTTTTTGATCCCACCGCCTAAAATGTCACGTTTCGCACACGCAATGGTCGACGGGAAACACATTGCTTCCTGGTCGAGATGACAGCGCATTCTAAAATGAATTAATTAAATTAATCTGTCTTGATAATGATGAAATTTAGTTTATAAAATAACATTCGCACGCAATTTTATTTATTAATAGAAATTTGTAGTGAAACTATCAAAATAGAATAAGCTTGCTTTGTTTTCATATTTTGAAATAAGAAGGGGAAGAAAAATCTTTATTGAGGATAATGGGTAGTCCCATTCTCACTAATAATTAATAGACGTAAGTAATCTAAAATTTTTTTCCTTTATAAAATTGTCAAAAATCACATAAAAAAATGTATGCAAATATTATTGTTAGTGCCATTTAATGTTCCATCAAGACTTGTCAGACCCTCGCTATAATTTAATATATCTAAAAGATATTTCGAATGTTTCATTAGTTGAAAGGTCTTGAAAAGCAATTGATTAAATATGTAAAGCTGAAAGGAGACTAAGTAGAAAAATGAATACAATTTTCCAAAAAAAGTTGTTTTTTTTTAGTCTCGTTTTAAAAATTTTGAGATCTATCGTATTTATAAATAATACTACAGTAAATATAGCAGCTTATAAGGGGATAACCTAGAACAAATTAGATACAAGCTACTTTTGGCTAATATCGATACGACTACTATAACATATTAAAAGTCTCATTTGGTAAAATATGGCAAATAAGACAAAAATGGCGGCCATCTTGATTCTTCTTTTATTATCTCAGTAAAATAAATTTCTACGAAAAAACTATTTTTTTGTTTGGAAATGAAAAATACATACATGTGTCTACTTAAATAGGAAAACAATTTAAAGTTATTCTTCATAAAAAGTTCTGCATGATCTATAAACTAAAACACAAACTATCAGATATCAAATTTTTTCAGACATGTACGAGGTTTGTCGCAAATTATTTATTTTATGCGTGTAAAGTAACTTTATTTTTAACAATATCAAAAATTGTTATTAAGAAAAGTTGATCAGAATTGAAAACAAATATCCAGTATTATCCATCTATCATAAAACAGTATTGCAAAATTAAATGTAGTTCGTATTTATGCCAAACAGTGTTAAATGCCGTTTTTTCATGATAGAATGATAATATTAGATGATAGATGGATAATATTAAATATTTGATCATAGTTTTCAATTCTGAACAAATTTTATCTGTAAAATCAGATTTAAAAAAAATTAAGTTGTTTTGGTTCCACAGACCGAGGCGTTACCGGTGACCCACCCTGTATAAATAGAAAAGCTATTCTATAAAAAATAAAAAAAAACAAGCTGGCTGTTTTTTAATATTTGCCATAGTGGGAGCGAATGGGTCTTTTAGAATGTTAATCAAAAGGCTTTTTCGTACACATTAAAACAAAAAATAACTAGTCTCTAATTTGTTCTACCCCAGTTTTCCATGTACTTTAATCTAAAAAAAAGTCGATCTATGGGACCCAATAATACACCTAGGACCTAGGCCCTTAAAATTATAACCTAAAAACTATTTTAGGAATTTTGTTTCAAATGCCCACCTGGGTTTTCGTTCAAAAAATAGGCATGCGCTGTGAGCCTGCTGCATACAAAAACCGTTACATTACAAGGTACAGCCAACGTCGAAGCTCTGACGTCGAGACGCCACAAGCCGACGCCGACGCTTTGCAAATACACTTCCCTGTGACCTCGTTCCGTTATACCAAACGATCCAGTTCCATGCGATGTTATCGAATCGTTATCTTGTACATCCACGTGCTGACCTGCAACAAATATATGACATTGAACCCTGAGGTGCTACTTAAATTATTATGTTATTTACCTGTTGGTGTCGTTAAAGTGCCTCCGATATTTTCTGGAGATAATATTAAGTTGATGCATGTTACTTCTGAATCGATTGGAAAAGTAAAATTCGTGTCGGACGATAGATTCTTTTTTGTAAGTATTGTAGACTAAAACAATAAATAATATCGTGTGTATACACAACTCAAAATTTAATTCTAAATTTTAACTTTTCTCTTTAAATAGTAAGTTACTGTTATAATGGTTATAATTTTTATTTTGTTGCATTACAGTTGTTTATTTAATTAATTTTAATTGACTCTTTAGCGCATTTACGAACGTACAAGTAATTTATGGTCTGTTGTATATTGTAAAGTAAAAAAAAAACGTCTAATTAAAATTTGCATGTGATAACGATAGCTACTAACGCAAGCTGTGTCTATTACGGATCTTAATGAGCAAAGTTATTCCAAAATTAAAAGAAAAATGCTGAAAACATCCAGATTAAACATACGAAAAAAATATATTTACTCTCTGAGATGTTGAAAGATATGTTTTTCAACCTTGGACTTACCACTACAGTATTTGTATCATTATTATTGATAAATCCTCTGTAATTGTATTTTGACAAATCTTTAACTCCATTTGTTAAGAATAAACCACCCGAATAGGAACATAATTCTTTTAACAATTTTTCTTCGCTCGTTTTCGTTGGATATGGACCACCCCATACGACATAAACCTTAAAAGTACAATAAGTTTAATACAGGGTCTCCCAAACCTTAGAGACAAACTTATCAATATAAATCGTAGGCAATTCTAATTTCCACTTTAAAAAATATTTTGAAAGCTCATTACGTTGTGACTGCACAGTTATATTTTTCAAATTTAACTTTCGTTCACTTTTTTCATTTCGGAAATATAGGGTTTTTACTAGATTATACTGTCAACGTTCTATGTATATCCTTTAAACTAAAATAGTAAAAATTAACTAACAAAGTTAATTTAAATATTAATTTCCAGCAGTTATTAGGTATGCGTGTGTTAAGTCATTGTTTCAAGAATAATTTTACGAATTGTTACCAATATTAGGTTAACTTGCAAAAAAAATTAGCAGAAATAAAATTGATTTCATAGAGAGAGAAAACTAGTCATAGAAACATGGATTAACTTGTGAAAATAATCTTCTTAGCACTGTTGTTTTGATTTATTAAAATTATACTTTTTTGTACCGATAACTTTTTACTCTCCCTGTAAGTGATGTTCGAACTGAACCAACTTTTTTGGCTCACCCCGTATACGTGTATTTTTTATATTAATAAAGTGTCGTTTACACGCACTTATATAACCATGTATAAATAGCCTATTTATTATCATTATTTTAAGTGTTAAACATTTTTTTAAATATGCTGTTTTCTATTTTAAAAAATGACTCATCATCATATATGAATAGTTTTAACCAAAAAGGTTGGTATTGTATGTTAGTAGTTATAAATATCTTACAGAGTAACTTTTAATATCTATGCATATCGGCAAAACAAAACTTAGGGCAATTTTAGCCTAAGCCCCCCTAATTTACCCACCTATGAAGATGATCAAAAACTGGAATTTAGTTCATTAAATAGAGCGTAAAAAGGCAAGCATTTGTACCAAATTTCACTTAGTTATCTTTAAACATTTAGAAAATATTTACAAAAGTATGTCATCAGGACTTCACTTTTATCACCCTGTATCTCGGAAAAGAAACGTTTTCGGACTTATATTTATATGAACTTTCACTCCTATTTTAGGATGTGGATTATGCTGTTAAAATATGACCGTCTAATTTCGGGACACCCTGTATAAAATTTAGGAGATTGTGGATAAAATAAAATATAACTTTGAATTATCACCACGTATTTCAAAATAATTTTGAATGTGGAACTTACAAGTGCCTACGATTTATATTAATAAGTTTTTTTTTTTTAAATTTAGATCATTTTTCAACTTAATTGTTCATAAGTACAATACATTGATTGCATTTTAAGTCGATTGGACTCAGGTTGATCTTTATTAAACACCTAACCTTGATATTTTTCTTTCTCACTATCCCTGTATGTCCAGCCAAGTCTTCGTCGTTAATTTTTCTGTCAATAAAAATAAGTAAAGCTCCATCTTGCGGCAAAGCTGAAATGGCATTTAACGTGGCGTAAAATGCTAGTGTTCCTGTTGATTCTTTTTTTCCCAATTCCGAATTGTCACTTTTATTTTGATAGCTAAAGAACTGGTAAATTTGTTCAGGGTTATTACCAGAAATTTCCGTCAAAGTAGTTGTACCTGCAATACAAATACGTGTTAAAAAAGTGTTCATTCTGAATCACTATCACCAAATGCATAATAATTTGATAAAATCCGTTAAAAATAGAGTGTTGCATAAAAACAGACTTTTGGAATTAATTAAATAACGATTTGTTATTTTTTATAGCTTTAATTGTATTTATGTATTTTACTTGAAAATGCTTTTAACATTTAAACATTTACAAATCTTTCCATTTTTTTTTCGTCATTTGCTAATAAACAAGTTGAACAATAATTAGTAGCATAACATTATACTTATAAAAAATGTCCTCTTTTAATTTAATTTTTTCTTTCATTGTAATGCATTAATCAAAAAAGCACAGATACTTTGAAAATTAACTAGTTTATTGATAGCCAATAGTTAAATTTGAATTTTTTATTTATTTTTTCATTTTTTTTCCATCGATATTTTTTTATACATACGTGTTATTTATCACGCAAATAATAATAATAGCCGTCCCTTCCCCTACACTAGTCGTTCAGTCAACTTCAGCGGTTGAAATTCACTCGTAAGGGGGTGAATTAGGGAGAGTAGTATTATTATATTATTATTATAATATAATTTTTTTAATTTTAATATTTTTTCAAAAAAAAAATTTGAATGCTAAAGTAGTATGTGAGCTACGGAGACATGCCAAGTCAGTTATATAATCAAATATGTGTATTGTAAATTTCAACAAAAAAATTACAAATTTGAGGGCGTCTGGCAGCCTTTTAGCAGTGACCCAGCCGGATGTAATGTCGGACCACCTAGCTTAGACTATAACAATAAATAATGACAGTAATTAAAAATGTATTGCAGTAAATTTCATGTAAAAATTCGGATCGACATTACTATGACTTTCGTAACTATGAAAACATAATGGTTTTGAAGTTTAAACTGTCAAACAGTTACTTCAGTTTTACCGATGTCTGATAATTTAACGACTCATTTGATGGATTACAAACTTGAAACAGTGACACTCCACCTGAAACGAAAGATGCTCAAAGGGGGCGTCCATTAATTACGTGAAGTGTGTTTTTTAAAATTTTGACTCCCCTTGGTGAGATTTGCTAAGATGTTAGTGGCACCCCTACCCCTCACGTGCGATTTACCCTATAATTTTTAAATAAGTTTATTTGTATTTTGCGTCATCCCAGTAAATACCTTCTATATACTACATTTTTTTCTGGGAAATAAGAGGAGATACACTGAGAGACAAATTTATTTCCCAGGAATAAAAAATTGTACTTGGAATTTGACAAAAAATTTACTCGATATATAAAATTTTATTTCATACAAATATGGCTTTACTTTCAGCCATATTTAATTTGTTTTTCAATTTTAAAAGTGGCACTACCTCGTACAAAATATAAGGTTTATTGTTATTTTAATTAATTGTGATTTGAATTGTTATGAAAAAGTTAAAAGCCCAGAATCAGTCATCATTATGGCGAATCTTTAAACTTTAAATCATAGACTTCGTGTTTTACAATATAATTTCTAAAAAATTCAGTTTTGTTCAATTAATAATGATTTTGTAATATCTTTTGATCCATTAACTGAAAATCGTATTCAAAATATATCATCTATTGAATTCGAAAAATCGTAGACTTCCTGTTTAACATTATAACCTCTGAAAAATTCATTTTTATTCAATTATTTATTAAATTAATGAATTTTTAATTCTTGTCGATCCATTTATTGAATTCGAAAACATAACCTCTGAAAAAGTCAGTTTTCTTATCGGTTTATTACTTGAAAATTTGTATTCATATTATGTGAAAATAAACGCATAAAATTTAGACAATTCTAATAAAATGTTTATTAGTATCTATTGAAAAAAAAATTATTTGGGGATGAGCTAAATAAATGTTATTTAAATAGTAATAATATTTTATTAACTGTAAATAAAGTTTTATCTCAGTGTAGAAAATATTTAATATTGTCTATGACTCGGATTGATTTTTTAATAATAAGGTATATTCTCTGAATTAAAAAGTTGACGTGATATTTTAATTGACCCAGTTCCCCCTTTAAATAATACTTTTGCCGTACCCTCCCCCAATTTTGACCTCACGTAATTAATTGACGTCCCCAAACTATGGTTCAAGAAAACAAAATCAACATAGAAAAATATTTTTTAGGGTTAAAAATAGCTATTTCACAAAATAAAAATTATGGTATTTTTTTTTTTTAAATAATCTATTTTACTTATATGTAACAATAAATGTCATATTTTTTGCCAGTTGGAAAAAAATCATTTTTTTAAATGTTTCCTACAGTTTTTCCAGTTTTAATTAGTTATATTTACTTAAAGAACTACAATTTTAGAAATATGAAAATATATAACTCTCAATTCCTTCTACGAAATTAAAATACACCCAACTGGCAGAGGCGCCATCTTGGGAAATGGGGATGTTTTTTCACAATTTGGAAGGGGAACTATTGTTAATATATTTTCATATTTCCAAAATTGTATTTCATTTTTTCGAATCTCAACCGATTTTCTCCACTTCAAAATTCTTTGTTAAAAAACGTTTTGATTTACCTGAACTGTTGAACTTTGACACAAAAAACGTTATTTGCTTGGCACCAGGCGCTATCCTAAAAACATCCTGCATAAAATCAGCAGCAGCTGCAAGGCTTTCCTCAGTTTCGTCAGCTAGTACTGCAACAGGTCTTAAAGAATTGTAGCTTTTCAAAAATCTCCTCACTGGTTCGTTACTGTCAGGGTTGTTTTCAATTCGAGCCGAAGTTTCGATACCGCTTCCAGAAAAAACTTCGATCACATCACTAGGGAAAAACTTTTCTGTCGCGAAAATATTTTCTGTACCCCAAACACTTTGTATCGCTAAGAGAAAAATTAATGGCGTCATTTCGAAGATTCGGATTTGAACTGGATCCAGATTAAGTCGCGCTTAAAGTTTTGTAGACGAGATGACAAATTGCGGGTAAGGCAGGATATTGTTTAACTTTTTAAGAGCAAAAATGATATGCACTCTTATCGCGATTTTCGTGTAAATTTTATGAATGGTCAATGATCTAGGTCACTTAGGTGGAAATTGTCATGATTTTTTTTTAACTGATAAACTTACAAATTTTCCCACAGATGTACACAATTTTTATTAGTAATCTCTATTGTTAATTCGGTTGCTGTATTTAGCTTTCCATTATTACTTGCCAGTACGACTAGGAATATACAAAAATACACTAATTAAAACGCAGTATTTTTTTGCATTTATTTAATTTCAGATTGTGAATATATAACCCAAATACAAATTCTAAAATCGATTTTTAAACAGGAAAATACACACCTTTGCAGATTATTTATCTTAGAATTTCTCTATTTGGCAATAATTATCATTAAAATTGTTTTTTACTATATAAACCTTTCGGTGTTTCAGTAATAACAAATATTATTTAAACACAAATAAAATGTAATCTTACGTCAGATAAATAGTTTTTTTACAGGATGGATGAGTACCGAAATAAAGTAATTCTATACTTTTTCGGATTTTAATAAAACATGTCTTACCATAATAATAACTTTATTTAACGTATGTCCCAATAGTTTTTGCACAAAATTTAGGGGTCTAAAAATGAGTGATAATAATAAAATTTCGAAACGACTTTGTAAACAAAAACATTCTTTTTTTTCCCTCGACATTAGACAAGTTTTTTTTACAGTTACAGGTATACAATATTAATTAGACAGAGGTAAACAGTGCGTGCCAGCCCACTAGCGGTAGAGGTGTGTCCATCTATCCAGTCACGGCAAATATAACTTTTATAAGACGCTACTATATCGACATAGTGTGGTTTACCTCCGAGGTACTGATATGATAACATTAAATAATAAAATAGAATCCATTGGGGGTTGCGCATGGGAAATTTTTATACGAATAAGTATAATTAAATAAAGCTCCTAACCTTGGCATTTATATAACCATAAAAATTCAATGAACTCTCCACAAGAAACCTAAATAATTTTATTTCGATATATTTAGTCCGATATCTTATCGGATGTTTTGTTCACACAAAGCAAAAAACGTTGTCGAGAAAACTCATGCTCAATTTTGTCTTCGTCGCACTTCTTTCAAGCGAGTGAAATAGAATACTGTTTATGAATAAAATGGTTACTATACTTTATACAATGGCAAAGGGCCATGGCGCCCGTCTGAACCGTACCAAATTTTTAAAAATGTATCACATTCTAAGTCGTAAAACATATCTTTTTTATTAATAAAAATAAGTTTAACACCAGAGGCTCAATGAATTAATACTAGTTGATACGTATAGCTAACTGTATTAAAATTGCCTGATGACAACATACTACTTAAATAATTAGCCGCTACCTACAGGATCCATTTAAAATTCCTTTAAAATGAAATGTAGTCCTATCTCGATTTTAGTTTCTCGCTCTGACTATCCTCTTGTTATTTCTACTCTTTGACTTGGTGCTCATTCTGCTTTGTTTCCTTTTAGCTATACCTACGTTTTTCTTTTTTACTTGCCTATCTGTATACAGATATAAGGAAAGTATAGGAATCATGATTTTTTGATTTGTCGATTCTCAACGTTAACATTTTATAAGGTATAAACATCTCTTAACAAATACACTGCGCCGCGAAATTAACCGGACACTAAGTGTATTTTAAATAAACTTAAAAAGTATTAGAAAAACTTAAATTCCAATAATTTTTTTTATTGTACATTCAATAACAAACCCTAAAATAAAAAACAAGTTCCAAAATATTGATTAATTTAACAAAAACTAAAAATTTATAAAAATTTTGTATTCCGGAGTACACAATTAACGGGTATTTTTCTGATTGAAATCATAAAATAATTCTAAGATTTGGATATCAAAATCGAGTATTTCCTCCTCGAGCCCGAATAACAGCTCTCATCCTTTCTGGCATAGACTGGACCAAAGCAGCAATCTCCTATTGCGGTATTTGTTCCCACTCATTTACCAGCGCCTGTTCTAACTCTACCACAGTTAGAAACTCGCCATAATTTTGTCTAAGTCTTCTTTCCAAGTTGTCCCACAAATGCTCTATGGGGTTAAGGTCTGGGCTTCTAGGAGGCCAGGCTAGTATCTCAATACCAACATCTGTAAAGTATTGCATAGTTACCCTGGCTATGTGCGGCCGAGCATTATCTTGCATTAGAAGAAAATTTTCACCTACAAAATGCATATAAGGTACCACATGTTCTTCCAGACATTCCCTAATGTACCTATCAGCATTAAGGCCAGCTCCCCCTAACATAACATGATCTGTATGTGCCCCATACCATTGCACCTCCACCACCAAACTGTATTCTAGGAGAGAAACAACATTGCGCATAGCGTTCTCCAGACCTCCTCCATACTCCTCCATCAGGTGAGTATCTCGTAAAACAAGACTCATCTGTAAAAAGAACGTTTCCCCTTGGTCTTCCCTGTCCAGATCTTCAAGAGTAAGAACCAGTTTCTCTAAATCTTGTATTGTACTTCGCGGAACGCCAAGCATTTCTTCAATATAACGAATGGAACGACCATCATTATGTAAGGCAACAGCTTACTCTACTTGATCTGGCCTCATTTCAAATTATTCCTGATAAAATCACTTGTCTTTCCCGAAAAAGCAGCCAACCACACACCAAAAAGGCATACAATCAATTTAACAAGCATTATTTTGTAAGTAAATATTCGATTATCGAGAACACCTTAACAAAAACTTTCTTTTCGGTCACAAAAAATGACAAACTTTTAAAAAACGAATGGATAAAGGCAACTTATATTTTGATAAATATATTATACAGGGGAATTCAACAAAACTATAAGAAGAAAACTTTAAAATTTCACGTGTCCGGTTAATTTTGCAGTGCAGTGTATATCTCATCAATATAATATTTGTTGCCACACCTCAGTTCATGATGACGACTTAAGGTTTTCATTTGGCATACCCATATTTGGTGTACCCTTGCCAAATTTGGCACCGTCGGATTTCGGTTTGTTTCAAAATTTAAACAAAATAGTACTGATTTGGAAGTAATTGGCGCACAAATACTTTTTTTGGAAAATTAGATATATAGAATGTAGATGGGATAAGTAAATAATTTGATTATCAGGGATTTTCTTTGAAAATAAAATATATTTTTTTGCCTCTCCTTTTGTACCGAGGACGAAAACTTTGTTTTCCGTCCTCGTACCTTGTCTAATATTTGACTGAATCAAACTGTATATATTTTTTATTGTCTAAAAATAAATACCTTTTATTATGAATATTAAATCCAAACCCCGTCAAAATACAGGTTAGCTTAATTGGCATTAATTTTTGTTGAGCATATAAATAATTTATGTATTGTGAGTTGTTTGCTGGAACATTTAGATTAGATTGCTCTTGATCGAAATGAGTTTATTTTGTTTTGGTTGGCATAGGTACATGTGACGGCAAGGTTAAAGTTATATAAAGAGTATTTTCTATTATTATCGCAGCTCGCTCTGAATTTCTATTTTAGTTCTAAATTAAATACATCTAAAAACTGTTCAATGGATCAAGAACTAGGTAAGAGTATATATTTGAGCTCATTTACTTTGTTTTTGAAAAGTTATAAGACAATTAATTTATTACGCTTTTTATTAAGAAGGTGATAAATGTTCTCTGATAACTTGTGAACAAGGACATTTTAAAACAAGAAACCAACCTCATTGACACGTTTAACGTTTTGAGATTCGTATTTGCTAGTTGCGATTTTTAAAATATTACCGAAAACAAATATTTATTTATATCCCAATAAGTCCCAATAACTTATTTCTTTGTTTTCAGAACAAATTTTGAACGACATAATTTCACCTAAACCGCCCCAACAAGAAACTGTACCAGTCAATTCAGAATCGGCTTTCAGTGAATTTTCAACTATCCCGACCGCAACACTTCAGACCCTTCCCGGAAGTTCCCTGCAAGGTGTACCGACGTGTCCTCAGGAATTGCCGGATATATCGACTCTTCAACCACATTTGAGTTCGGCACCTCAAACATCGCACTTATCTTCAGTATTTTCATCGTTTTCCAGTATTTTGAATATAGGCAGCTCGAATAGTCATAAAGAAGAAGCTGTGGTCCCGCCACCAGCTGGCATAGAGACTTTCATTACGCAGGAGAATAGAATTCCTGAACCCGTTCCACTTTTTTCAGCTGATTCTACTCCGTTTTTACAGCCGAAACCTCCAACAACTACAGGTAAGTTGCAAAAATACTGAAACGTGTTTTTTTTTCAACAAATTTACAACCAACGTATTTGTTTTAGGTCCTTCCAATCAGTTTAGACGATCAGGCTTGAAACGTTTAACATATGCACCAGTGCCAGGCCTTTCTAGTGCTCCTCAATCGACACAACCACTCAATTTCGTGACTCCTCAAAACCTTCCTCCCTTACCAGTAAATCCTCAGCCAGTGCCCCAGTACACAACTGCCAGTTTTTTTGTACCCACTACTCCATCTCCTAAAAACTCAGTATCATCTAATTCTAGTTTTGAAGTGACACAAATTTCACATAATCAATTTAAACCGATATCCCCTCCTCCACCTAGTTTACAGAATAATTATACTATTCCACAGCCTGTGGTTCCTGTGCCTGTTCAACCTATAGCTACTACACAATCTCTATTTGTTAATTTCAACCCGCCTATCAGTTTGACAAATTCTACCAATTTGGTACAGCCTGTGTACAGTGGTGCGTTTTCAGGAAACATTTTAAGTCCAGTCATGGATGCTATTCCGCCTAACGAATTGACTCGAGGTTCTAACTTGAATTCTGCTAATGTGAACACTGTGACAAGTATGTCCAATCCTGCCACTGTTGCTCAGGTTAATGTAAGTATTTGTTCCAGCAAAATCGGATTTTTACTGACTGAATATTTTTTAGCCCCCGGTAAATCAGGTGTACAGGCCCGTGTATCACCACTGGTTTTTCCAGAGAGATTTAGAATGTAAAAAAAGTTGGCAGCCGTTTTCTATGGTTGATTCCTTAGCTCTTGAGCATGCATTTACTTCCAGTAAGTTACTGTTTCAAGTATGGGTGCAACTTTTTAGAAAAATATGTATTTTTAGACGATTTAGATCCAGAAAAAGTAATCGCAACAGATGGAGGTAGATATGACATAAACATTTTGAGGCGTCAGCGCAATGCTGTATACTGGAAAGCAAATCCATCTGAAGTCAGAAGATGTTCTTGGTTCCATAAAAATACCCCTGATGGTAGATTAATACCATACGACGAAAATGTAGCAGCAAAATTAGAAGATGAATACAAAGCTGCTTTTGAATCGAACCAGTGGCATAGGAAAATTGATCTACCCGGAGGAGAAACCATTGTGCTTCATGGTCCAGATGTTTTGGTACTTTTTTCACAGACGCAGGTACCAGATGCTTGGGGCAACACAACGGTAAGTGTACCTAATTTTATTTCCAACTGAACCAAATTGTTCATTTCTTTTTTCAGAATCAGGCCCGCCCGAGAGTTGTGAAAAGAGGAATGGATGAATTTGATATTGACGAAGGTGAATCATCACATGTGGACCATATTTTATTTATGGTGCATGGCATTGGCTCCGTTTGTGATCTAAAATTCAGAACCGTTGAGGAAGTGGTTGATGAATTCCGTAGTATCGCTCTCCAATTAGTCCAGTCGCATTACAGATCATCCTGCGATACTGGAAAAGTCCACCGGGTCGAAGTGCTGCCAATAAGTTGGCATGATCACTTACATTCCGAAGAAACGGGCATAGATGAACAACTGAAGAGTATCACGTTGGAGAGTATTCCTAAATTGAGAGGATTTACCAATGATACTTTACTTGATATTTTGTTCTATACGAGCCCCGTGTATTGCCAAAAGATCATTACAACTGTAGGAACTGAATTAAATAGAGTTTACGATTTATTTAAGCAAAGAAATCCCGAGTTTACGGGAGGGGTTTCTTTAGGAGGACACAGTTTAGGAAGCTTGATATTATTTGATCTGTTGGGTCATCAGGACTCTAAACGGGAGTCAGATAGCGAAGAGAGTAAGTTTTTTAATTTCATTTTAAAATAATTTCTGTTAGTGCCACAATTGCCTATTCCTTTTCATTTTTGATGCCATTATCTGTACCTAAAGATTAGGCAGATACGTCCAGTAGACTCACTTTTAATAATTTCTAACCAACTGGTTTTCGTATATTATTATTTTAGTGCATGCTTAAGTTACCTATTAAAATTGTTCGTTTTCGGTGTCACCATCTATACCTAAAGATTAGACAGCCACGTCTAGTAGCTACCGGTAAAGTACTTTGATCTCCATTTACTCACTTTTAATAAATTATTGTTTAGGCAGCTCCAACACTGAACTACTCAAATAAAAGTCTAAATGGCTTCGGCGGTACATATACTAATCCATTGACGGTATTGTTACATTTTATTCTAGGTGATGATATTCTCTCAGAAAAACCACACCCTAAAGATAGAAGAATGAACAAGAGAATCAGCTACATGATGGGAGCAATAGGGACTGGCCAACCTCAAATACACTACCCTCGACTTAATTTCGAACCAAAAAATTTCTTTGCTTTGGGATCTCCCATAGGGATGTTTGTTATTGTGAGAGGCCTGGATATTTTGGGTGAAAATTTTTCATTGCCTACTTGTCCTTCATTTTTCAACATTTTTCATCCATACGATCCCATTGCTTACAGAATAGAGTCGTTAATAAACCAGAAATTCGGTCAACTAAAGCCAGTATTAATTCCACACCACAAAGGAAGGAAGAGAATGCATTTAGGTAAATATAATCTTTTTATTTTTATTTATTAAAGTAAGAATAATTAAAAATAAAAAATTTAAACCCAAATCTATTGAAATAACACAAGGTCTCGCCCGAAGTCGTTTTTTATGCGTTGGAGTTAGGTAGAAACTTAATGTACTGTACTGCAGACGTCCTTAGCAAGAATACAGGTAGCTTGTTGATGCGGGTAGCTTGATGATCAGGGAAAACGTGTAGGTTGCCGCTTTCTGGTTATGTAATCTAAATGGATAGGTTATGTTGCCGTTGAACTTCAGGAGGGAAATCCTCACCCCCCATAATAAACACGATAATCCACTTATCGATGCTGTACCTATCAATAGAAATAAATTATTTATGAATTTTCAACACAGAAAGTATACCTTACAATGAGTAGAACAAAGTTTAATAGGAACATGTACATAACAGAGGGAGGGCACTTTCAACAAGCATCAATATGGCTTCGACTTCAGCTTGCTCCATATACATGAGACACAGATTTAGGCGCCACAAGTTAGTTATATGTGCAGGTTCCTAATTCAAATTGCTATATTGTTGAAGAAATACATCTTAATGACAAAGTCAGAAAATATAGGTACATATTTAAAAATACAAAAAAAATGTTTACCTTGGTCAACTCATCGCAAGGTGTGGTTTCTCTGTTAAAAATTCCATACCTGTATATGAAATACAAAACATACCTATTACAACTAGATATTTTACTAACAGTATTAGATGTACAAATTATAGCAACTAAATACCATTTGTTGACATTTAATTCTAAGAAGACTGCCTATTTGAAAATATTGAGAACACAGGAAAACTGTTCATATGTAGAACTCGTTGGAGATGAGTAACATTGTAGCATTTATACTTTTGCTTCTGTTTTTGACATCTATACCTCATGCCTGTCATTTGGTTTGCTTATTTTGATATCTGCATTTCTGTCTTCTTCATTGTAGTTCTTCAATAAAAAATATACATTATTTTTTCAGACATTTAATAATTTTCGTGCTTATCATAGCTGCGATTGTTTATCCACATCGGTTGCATCTGACATTTTATAATAAACAAACGCTCTAGACGTATTGGTCACATGGTTAAAATGATAATGACAAGTTACAAATTTTATAATTTTTGAGTTATAATAGGAATACAAAAGTAGTTGTCTTGCATTATTTCCACGACTTGTAATTTTTATTATGATTATTTACTTTAAAACTATTTTGTGAATTGAAATAACTACTCTCTACTGATGGTCAGTGATATATTATGGAAGAAAATCTAAATTAAACAAATTATATTCACATTAGCATAAACAAAATCTATAAACCTGCAACTGAACCTGGCATGGAACGAATCCAACAAAAAAGTTTGACAATCCCCAACATGTCATTTCAAATCTAGATGTAAAATCTCATCCTGAGAGTTACATCTCAAATAAACAAATATCAGATATGGATATTCAAATGCAGCTTATGAAACAAATAGTACATGATAGAGTATATATATACAGTAGCTAGCGAACAAGAACGAAGTAGTGTAAAGTACACAAACTAAGTAGAGTTTCGTATAAGAAACCAGAGTAACACTTGAACACACATTTTTATTTGTGGCCACGCCATTTCGAAAAATTTTAAAACTAGGTCTAAACTTTCTGTCAGTTTATCATTTATTTACTTTGCTTTTTGAATTACGGAGGGTACTGGTAGATTATAAATTAATTCCACAAACCAACCGTCTGTATTTTAATGTTTTGTAATGAGGAAGATTTAAATATAGAATATATTTATTGGTTTTCTAGAATTAAAAGAAACTATGGCTCGAGTTGGTGCCGATCTAAAGCAAAAAGTGGTAGATTCTATGAAAAACACATGGAACTCTGTATACCAATTAGCGATGTTCCACAAAGAAACTCCACCCAATATCGAAGAGGAAGTTTCGAAGGCGTTTAGAGATCAATTAGTAGATAAAGAAGACCATGAAACTGAACAACTTCAAGATACAGCTGACGTACCTATTGGTATTCTAAATAATGGAAAAAGAGTTGATTATGTTCTTCAAGAAGCACCTTTTGAATTCTTTAACGAGTATATCTTCGCTCTAACGAGTCATGTTTGTTACTGGGAGTCTGAGGATACCATTTTGTTTATGCTGAAGGTAAATAATTATATTTTTATCTGTAATTCGTTTGTTAATGTAGTTTTGCCTCAAAATGAAATTTGAGTACAGAAAATAAAAATATAACCTATAAAACTTATTTAAATTATTTGTGAAAAACGAGTACCTGCTATACTTAAAAATAAAATTTGCTGTTATTCTAAAAACTTCAATAAATGACATATCTCCATCTTTTACTATACGATTAAAATATTGCTTATAATTTGATGAAATGTTTAATTTTTAGGAAATATACACTTCTATGGGAATGACTAGTGACAGTCAAATTCCGCAACAATCCATGACTATCGAAAGACCTTCTCATTCACCAACATTTTTCAAAACTGCTAAGATTGACTCTCCTGTTGATCCTATTGGTGTGGATCCCACGAAAGCTATGCAGGTGCCTGCTAACATCCAACCACCACCCATGGCAGGATTTGTCCGGAAAACATAGTATATACTGTACGAGTGGTTTTATAAACCACTTGCTTGGCGATACGCGCCCTATTTGCTGCACAATACTTTCCAATCTAATATAAAGAAAAAAAGAGGACTGAAATAGAATGGAAAGAAGTTTGTGAGATTTGCTATTTATTTACTATTTATAAATTTGTTTTACAATGAGAAATTTTTAGTCATAGTTTATTTCATATGAAAATCTTTTAAAAAGAAATTTAAGTGTAGCTTTTATTTTAAAAATCTTTAAAAGGTTATTTTTAGCCACATTAGTTAAAATTGGGTCTACAAATTTTTAAAGTCAATTTAATTTTTTTTAGTTTAAAATTTGTGGAATTTTGTAGCAATGAGAATGCTTTTAATATTATGTTTTCTTCCGTGTACAATATTAATAATGTACATAATCTTAAAATGTCAACTTGGGTGCTTTTATCTTGTGAGATATTTGCCAACTAAATATTTTATAAAATTAGGTAATGCTTGACTGTTAATAACATAATATTCGTCACTAGATGTGTACTGACTGGGGATCTGACAAAATAATGTAATCATTTTACATGCCGGCAAGGCTGTGAGGTTTAAATACATATTTTTCTAAATAAGACACTTTTTATATTCATAAAGTATAATTTGTAGATTTTGTATATATAAATTTGACGTATTTACATTCCATTTATAAGTTTAGAATCGTTATTTGTTTTTTATGTAAATAAAAGTTTATGGGGGTTGTGTTGAAAACTCAAAAAATTATTTGTGTTAATTACTTATACTTTTATTGAAATATATTTTATAATTACTAAATTTTTTATTTATCTGCTATGATTTAAACAAACCATTCTCCTAATACTAACGTCAAAAATGGTCGATGGTACTGTGTAGATACTGTCTAGACAGAAACGATCAGCTGTACATTTGTGTGTAACAGAGTGAGCTTGATATATATGGTATCTGTAACGTGTGGAGGGTGGGTTACCCCCACCACACTTAGGCCTCATTAGGCCATCATGTATCCTCCTGAGATGATAGGCATCTCCTAGCTCGTGAGCCAGCCTACAGATTTCATGTAGTTGACAACGTCGCCAAGAGGTGTTTCTCTTATATCGGCCGGTGTTAGCCGATACTCGTCGAACAAAAATCTTCTAATTTAATCTTTCCTCCATGGTAAAAATTTTACTAGGTAAAGAAAAAAACATCAAAATGGTGACATTTAGAACTTTTATTCTCCTACTATACAATGTACAAAACCTATAATGTTCATAAAAAATATTAGCCTAGATTAATATAAACGATCTTAGAATTTTCGAAACATTTACTACCAAATAAAAGTACGGTTACTACTTAGTAATAATTAATAAGTAAATGAAACATAACTATAAAATCACATACGATCCTTAAGTAATACCTACTGGATCTGACCTGATAAATAATAAACGTCACCATTTCACTTCCATAACATTTTTATAATTCATTCAGTTTATTAAAACAATGAAGGTTTTCAGATTTCTATTAAATAAATTGAAAAAAAAAAGGAAATAATAGGAGACTGACATTTCAACCAAAGTTATAACGCTTTTATTTAACTGTTCCAAAAACCGGAAGTTCTCATACAATATTGATAAATGGCTATTAAAAATTCACAAATTAAAACAGAATTGTTTATAACTGATTCAAAATTAATAGGAAAGTGAAATAGGAATGTTTAAAATTTCGACCACCAGCTATAATTTAACACATCTTGATTGCTCATTTTATATAGTATACAGAGGGTGTGAGGGAAACCAACCATTTGTTAATAAAGATTTGACAACAGTGAGCTTAATTTTATTAATAATTATTCTGAACACTGAATTGCAATATGACTGTTAAGTTTTACGAGAATGATTTAACTCACACCCAGTATATACAAAGATTTCGTTCATAACTAATAATACATATTTTCTAAAATTGTCAGTTAATTCAAAATTAAAGATTCCCCTTTTCAGATAGCACCTTTGTTAATTTTAAATATTATTTGTACTTTAAAAGAAAGAAAAAAAGGAAAAAAAAAAAAAGAAAAAGGAGAGATAGTAAACAAGAACCTTGAATTTCTCTTAATAAAAAGCAAATTGATAAAAATATATATGTATAACATTAAATTCAACTGAATACAAATGCTGTTCTATTCCAAAAGAGGCATCCTTATTTCTAAGATAACCGAAAGTTAAAAAAAACAATTCTATTCTGCTAAAAAAAAGATTGATTTGATGAAATGTTTTTAAAGACATGAGCATTCATTCAATAAGGGTCGAAGTATAGTTGGCCATCTGGTACTAGTTTGGTTAATCCCTTGTTAAAAATATTAAAAGAAAAGCCGAGCTGTTAATTTTTGATTGACTATTCATCAGGCCAAATAAAATAATAAGCTACATTCCAACACCAGTCAGACACAATAACTTTCTTTTTTTTTGTTTACAAACTACCTTAATTAATATATATACACTAAAATATTAAGAAAAAGGCATATTCATCACCTGATCAATATTATAAAAAATATATATTGGATTTATTCATTTTTTTTATGAGGGTTTGTCAGAATTTCTGCTAGTATATAAGTCTGATAACAGCAAACTGAATTAATCACAAATCTTTTTTTTGAACTGTACTTTATAAAAAAATTAAAAAGTTTTAAACATAATATTAAAAATATTGAATATGCTGTAAGTGGACTTAAAATATAGTGAATTGAATTCTACAAATAATTAATATACATTTTACTTCAGAGGTCAAAGGGCATGTCAGTTTGTTGTTGGCTACAGAAATGCTATATCTACCACCCTAAAATCTAAAACGGGTGAAAGGAAAAGTAATAGATACAAAAGTGTAATAAAAAATATATAAATAATATAGATTTACAAGTAACAAGTGACTTTAGTGGAACATATTGTCGACCTCATGAACAAGTATTCTTCAGTTTTTTGGCAGATAAGTTACTATTAATGATGAAAAATAAAGAACAACAAATATTTTATTTATTTACTGTTAAAATCATTATTTTTGAGATACTCTTGCTCGTGAGTTCTACAATATAGAGAATATACCATTTCGATATTCCTACAGAAATCCATTAATATTTATCTAATTATTTTAAAGCCAGAAAGGATGCATTCTATATATATCATTGATAGAATTCTATCCCCCTTATTCGCCGAACAGTAAATAGATTATTAAAATGAATACAACATAAACCTATGTATTGTTGGATTAAAATATGACAATTTTTAGTTTTAATAAAATTATAGTATTCATTAATGATTAGTATTGCGATATTAATATAAAGTATTTTTGAAACGACTTCTATAATTTGTTTTAAATTAATCTAATTTAAGACGCAAATAAACCCATTTAAAAGGAACAAATAAATCACAATTTTTTAAATAAGCATCAGCTAAATTTATTGCTCTTTGTAAATGATCATGTTTATTCAAAATTGGTATTTATTAATTCGATTTTGCGTCTTCTGAAAATTTTTACCAACAAGACAGTCGTTTTAGGAAGAAAAATCAATGAATTCTTCCTAGTTATTAATTAAGAAAGAACTGAAGATACGCAGTAATACAATTCCACTTTAAAATAAAAATAAAAAGTATAGTTCATCAAATTATTATTACAATATAAATACAGCTTTGTGCAAAAATATCTACATCATTATCCGTCAATCTCTTTTGATTTTATTATATATAGATATATCATTTTTAAATAGGGGCTTTCAATAAATTGGCTTGACTTCAATCGCACAATGATCGAATTGAAATACAAGTGCAAGTATAGAATAATTAAAATTTACAAATTGGAATCAATATGAAGCAGTGTTTAGAAAAGTTGCTATGTATTAGAGACATCGAATTAATCTCTTTAAAATCTGTATCACATGGAAAACTGTAAAAAAATCGAAATTTTGGGAAAAATCTGTTCATTATTTAAAAAAAATTGAAAATTATTTTAACTAATATTATATCAACATTTATAAATACATATATTTTTAATTATTTTTCTGATTTATGTGAGTCGCTCGTGGATAATGTTCTAAATCCACGCCTGCATGGACTAATTAGAGCATTTTGCTTCTCTCGATGTATATTTCTAAATAAAAATACAGACAATTTATCTTTGTTAAAGTTTTTATTTTCACGACAAACTAAATAATGTTTCCAAACTAGCTATTTTTTATTTAGGAATACTAGTTTCCATATGGTACGCATTTTTTAGATAGAATGTATGAAGCACTTATTATTAAAATTCAAGTATTACGACGATTTATATTCAAACCATTTTAAATCATCTAAATGTGTAGTCCTCACCACTAATTCTTCACTTATTATTTAATACAAGAATTTAATTTATTAAATCAAATGTGTTTTTGAGACCAATTTTTAAAAGCTAAATAAAAAAATGTAAATATTCTGAGACAGGATTTGTGAAAATTTTTGATTACAAGACTTTTAATGTGGTTTAGTGGTAAACAACAATGGCTGATGCTCTTCAATATTGACAGGATTCAACTGCAATAATTTGTCATAATAAATAAAGGAAACATGAGTCAAATATACAAAATAAAAAAATAAAAACTCGTTTATTCTAAATTTTGAAGTCGAACGACAAATTTCATTGATCGCTCTGTAAGTAATTTCGTTGCTTTGAGATAAATTGGGGAATGTTTTTTATTTTTGGAATATCTAATGAATAAATTTTGTTGAAGCGCCCTGTCACGTAAAATAAAAATAAAACCAAACAAAAATAAACCCTGTTTTAAACAATATATAGGAAATTTAAACATTTTTGAGCAATTTAGTTTATGGTTCCTTGTGGTTCTGCAACGGATCCTTAGGGTCTTGATTTGAAACTGAGGAATTTGATCGGGGTACAAGGATGATTGAACCATCGGCTGATGTCTGCAGACTCCATTGGTAAGGGGAATATTGGTTACCGTCGGGATCTCGCAAATTCTAAAATGATTATTAATTTGTTAATATTCATTCAAGGTTAAGTCTGGTCATCCTAATAAGCAGTCTGCAAGAGTTTAACTACAGCGAGATGGAAAATTACCAAATAATAGGATGAATCACAGAAATATCACTGAAATTAATGGTATAAGATTGAATTATGACGAAGCTTCTTATTAAGGGGCATTGTAATTAATAAAGCTAAACGGAAATAGCATCTGGATGAGCTGTGTGAAGCTGGTTCCTCGAAATTTTAAAACTTAACTTTTAAAATTAGGATGCGTTTGACCACCGATTGACTGCACAGTAACATTTTTTGACCAACCTTAAAAACAAAAATATAAAAAATAAAAGGCCTGAGTGCCTGCTGGCCCCCCGAAGTTAATTTTTTCAAAATTGCATGCATCATTCTTAATTTTTTTAACCAGTCTTTAAAACAATTTCAATATGGTAAATTATCGATAAACGTGAGTTCCAGGGCGAATTTCAATTTGAACAAATAGTCCATCGACATTTGACAACCACCTAAACTAATTCGAAGAACTCCAAAAGGTTTGACTCGACTTGGAGAAAATGGGCTATGGTCAGAAATACACAATGAAGATCCAAAAAGTCTTACGAGACGTCCTTAGAATTATTTTAAGAGGTGCTCAAATCCTTAACATAATTTTAAGCTTTTTTTCTTTTCGAAGTCAAAATTCGATTCGTTGAATTTTATAAACTCTTTGGGATCCTTAGATTTATTTTAATGGGGTGGTCAAACGTCATCTTCACACAGCTATCTGGATGATATCAGGACTCCTAATGCTGCAATAAAATTATTCAAAACAGACTTGCATCGGGGGCATAATTATAAGTGAAATGTAATAAAAAGAATACAGCTAGCAAATTCCACTAGTGGCGTAGCGTATAGGGGACCAGGGCGAGCGACGAACCCTTCCGCCTTTTGCGTTTAGAGCACATTTGGCGCCCCTCACAGAGGTTTGGGCGCCCTAGAAAAGCTTCGTTTACTCCGCCCTTTGGCCCACGCTACCATAGCTCTTGCTTATTTTAAAACTTCAATACACAATTGTCTGCCAAAACAAAATTACAAACACTGTACAGTATTAGCAAAGATAATAATAGTCTTACCTGGAATACATGTCTGTAGAGTTGCTGGTACTTATCACGATACCGTTTGCATTCGTTTTTAACATATTCATGATCGGCAATCAGTCTCATTTTTCTGTCTTTCATATCCTTCACTTCATCAGCTAAACTCAAAATTTGATCAAGTTTCCTCTTTCTGCAATTCTGAGCAGCGACCTTGTTCTTGCCGCGTCTTCGTATGTCCCTAATAAGACTCAGCTGAGCTTCGCTCAGATCGTACTTTGACAATCTAAAAACAATATATCCTTTATGTTATTTTATCAATTTTAAGCGGAACAGTTATCTGAATACTGACCTTTCGTTGAATTCGTCCATGGGAAGGTTAATAATATCGTCAACAGAAATGGGAACATTGAGCGCCCTGGCACGTTTTTCATCCCTAGTCAAATGTTCATCTTCGGCCTTTCGCTGCTTGGATTTGTCTCTTATGACAGGCCTCTGCATGGCACCCGAGCTTTCCGCAGGAAGATGATAAGTGTGGTTGTGTTGTATGTGGTTCACTGGATTCCTATTCAAATGTCCCTGTATTCCAAACTCCATGGAACAGGAATACTTCATTTCAGGAACTTTTGGACCTACGGCACCTTCCGATTGGTTGGTGATGTACGATGACGCAGGTTCTCTATATTCATATTTTAAGGGCGTCGCGGGTGAATGTGAGGAATTTGATGAATTGTGGTCTTGGAAAAATCGTTTGCCGTACATTTGATGTTTCTTTTGCGCTACAGGTGGAATGCGTGTGCTGTCGGAATTGCCGATGCCGTTGTTCAGTTGTCGATTACTATAGCTGTAGTCGTACGGGCGTAATTTTCTGTAAAATAATATATTTGTTACACCACCGATTTATTATACAACAGACATGCTGAATTTCGTTAAAAAATCTACTGCCTATTGTTTGGTATATGTTACCAAATTCTTGTAAATTGGATGGATAAAAAAACACGTAGAAAGATGTCGAGAGGAGACAAAAAGTAATAAGAAATAAAAAAAGTGATAGACAAAGTATTGCTAGAGGAGAGTATACAAGAGAATACTAGAAGGCAAAATACACAAGGAATACTCCCTTTGCTTATTACTTTTATCAACATACTCGCTTACAAAGCTTTTGTAGACTATAAAAATAAGCGGGAAAAACTGGGGCCAAAACTCCAAAATGACAAATATTTCAGTCACAGAAATCATACATAATGAGCGATAATAGCCATGATAACCTACGGCGCAGTGGCATGGATAACCAAAACTTCTCAGTTAAGGGCAATAGGCCAACTTAGTGGCATTCATCGGCGCGCCTGTCTGAATACCACAAGTGCCATGTGTACTGCACCAACTGCAGCAATGGAGGTACTATTAAACTTCGCACCACTGGACATCTTCATACAAGGAGAAATCACCAGGTCCGACATTCACAGACTAATGCAAGGACAAAACCCAACAAGCCAACTATATGGCGTTGACCTTCTAAGGCTATAACAGCAAGTAAAAAAGGATAAGATTCTAGGAATTCCTACTGGAACCATAACCGCACACATTTAAAAGAAATTTTCAAATTCAAATACCAGCCCAAGAATCCTGGAAACAGGGACCTCCTATACAGGCTGAAATAGTCCGGTATACAAACGGTTCTAAAAACCAATGAAGGAACCGGTGCTGGAATCTAGGAAAATATGTAACAATGTTCCATACCTAACTGATACCCATACAACAATGTACAAGATAATTAATCTGCAAATATCAGACAAAACTATTGATACTAACTCTGATAGCCTGGCAGCAGCTCTAAAGGCTATTCTCTCGCCAGAAATCAAATCACGACTGGTGAAAGACTGTCTAGATCTCACAAAGCTAAGCAGGCCTTACAAAGTGACCTTAGCCTAGGTATCTGGCCATGGCCAACAAACTAGCCCTAGGGTACTCAAATAAGGCCATGAAAGGTCCCGATCCCATCTGTAGAGTTTCTAAGGCATTGTGCAAGGTATCTATCAAACAATGGATGCAATAAGAGTCTCAGGAATGGTAGAACATGCCAAATAAGTTCATTAAGGAACCGTCGGTCAGTTTTATGCAAAATCAAAAAGACAAATCTTTAGGATAATAGTAGGCCTTCTTAAGCCACATTGTGCCGGTTCTCTGAAGAATGTGAAACATCAATTCACGTCCTGTGTCAGATTGAAGTTTCTAATACTACGTAAAAATAAGTCAAAAGCATGTAACTACATACGGGAGCAACTGTCAAAGCTACTAAGTCTAATAAAAAAGACCTAGACATACTCTAAATAACGGAGTTCCACAATAGGACTGATTAAGTCGCGGTCAACAGGGACAAATGTCCAACTCCATTTAAATATAATCTATTACTTTTATCCAGATTTTGATTTACATCTACAATGGGTGACTTTAAATATATATCCAATATTACTTACGTGGTGTAATCAGTCACATAATGTTCGGTAGAAGTATGTCCAGAATCGGAACCACCATCTCCCCATTCCCCGTCGGATAAAGATGGCACTCGTTCAGAGCCCATGGAACTAACAGCGCTGTCACTGGATGTATCCATGCGTTCCATATCATTTCGGGACATCGTGGTGCTTGTGTTGTTGGCCCCTACGTTATTTATTGTGCTATTACCATCCAACATTCGCATGGTGTACATGCCTAAAAAGAGTTTTAAATCTGAAATATTGTCTGGTCTATTAAAATACATTTTTAATTTAAAATAGCCCTATAAGAAGTTACGAAGAGGTGCCTAATCGGAAGATCGTCATCCAATGCATCTATTAGGGAAAACTTGATTTAAATAATTTCTAACTATACGTAAGAAATACGTTGTAGCTCCATCTTATTGGTACCACATAGATCTGTCTATTTTATTTGGATAATTAGGAGCAGGAAAATATTTTTTAATGTAGATACTAAAAAGTTAGCCAAAAAATATAGATAAACCTCACCATTAACTGTGCTTTCAATAAAATAAGAGGCAATAATTTTATGGTTAATGATACCAGCCCAAACGTTCACTTTTTGAGGAAATTGTGTATGAGCTATAATTAAATTAAATATACAAAGAAATTTTATTAAATACACTGACGCGTATCAGCAATTCATGATAAAGGCTCATTGAAACAATTTTATCCAATAGTCCACTTGATAGTTTTTGAAGGCACAGTTAATGATGGTACTTATATAGGTTTTTTGAGTAATTTTGTAGTGTCTACATTAAAAGACTTTTTCCTTATGTTAGTTATTACTTACATGACCTAAACAGGTACATTTAATACCAAATTAACTTATAGTGAGAAATATTTAGATATTTTATGTTTAAAAACAGCAATAGATTTGTTTCCAATTTACTTTAAAACCAATAATTTGACAAAAAGATAAAGAACATACCTAAACTGAGTTTACAAGACATTAACAAAATTTTATATTTGAAAATTATTTTTCTCAGTTATGAATGCACAACATTTAATAACTTTATATTGCTAAATAGAGAATTAAAATCCCTTTCGCCGAAGTACCATACGACCCCCTTTCCAATTTATATAGAAGTAAAACTAGTAGTTGGCAAAGCTATAATTGTTCTTTTTCATACAATTACTTTGTTTTACGAATGTTTTCAATAATTAAAGACGATTTACAAAGAAATGGTTGCTGTACTAAGTGGATAGAATACTTTCGGTGGGTCACTCTGTATATACTTATCATACAATTTTTTACCAATTATGCGTAATACTGCTATTTGAGAAGGATCAAATTTTAGGATTTGAATGCAATCATATAATGTATGATCAAGGTCACATTCAAAATCACATGCTTAATTAAGATTGGCTATTATCGCGAATTTTAATTTTATATAAGTGTTTAGGTAACTACCTAGGTCAAATTATATTCAAAACAGGTGGTAATTGTAGTATCTATATTTCCAACCTTTGTACAGTATGTATAAGCGTTTAAGATAGGTATCGCGGAATTAATTCTCTGAAAATGATTTAAGATACAATGGTTGACTCTGTAATCACGTCGTTGGTATGATTACCATTACAAAAACACACATAGAGCTTATTATTTAAATTTACATACAGGGTGTCCCATAAGTTATGGATGAAACAAAGCACATTTGCTATCAAACAAATTATACAGTCTGAGTATTTGGGTTGGAAATCTCGAATTATCTACGTACATAAATATGTTTCTACTTGAAAATTTTTAGATAACGTCATTATGACATCGTCATAGTGATGGTTATCCGAAATGAAAGCAGACTAAATTGAAAATTTGACGAGTCTCGGCGTTTCTTGTCTTAACGTTGCCTAACGTAGATAATTTGAGGTTTCCAACCCAAATACTCACACTGTATATTAATCTTTTCGCCCGAGGTAAAAATCCTGAACTGATTCTGAATAAATAGTAATTTGTCGCATGCGCAGTAGTATCAATTAGCAATTTTATTCTAACCTTTAAAAAATTATTTTTATCAGTCTCGCCTTATATTTTAATATTTCATCGGTTAAATTGTGTAATTTTTTACATTACCTCTATTTTGGGTGCATAAATAAAGTGTTAAATCGTATTGATTTAAATGACTTGTATAGTGCAAAAGAAACAATTGAAAACCAAGTTTTTTGCAGTAAAAGGTTTTCGATATTAATCAACATTCATGCCGATGCATTACTTACTTCAACTAGAAAAAATCTACAGGGTGAGCCAAAACTCAAATACATCGTTTTCTCAGTTTTTTTAATTGACCACCCTGTATTTTATATCACCATTTAAAAGCACTTTAATTAAAGTTTCATTTGAATTAAGCATTCCCTACACCCAAACTTGATAATTTTGCGAGATTTTTAAATTTAAATGAAAAAAGAGATAATTCTCAAAATACTGGTCACTGGTTAATGTGTGTGTCTGTATAGTCGATAACTTATGAACGTATACATAGAAAAATACCAAACTTAAGCTTTATTCCGGCCTCCGGTGTGCTGATTAGATTTTGGACATAGTCGGAACATCTAGGGGGTACTTTATATGGAATATATCTGTTATTTACGCTTGGAGAAGAATATTCGTTAAATAAAAGTTGTTTGTAATATTATTTTCTATAATTCTAGTCCTCTACAAAATTTTCTTAAAATGGTCCGTATTCGAGAGAATTGACAAAAAGTAAAAAATTTAAATTTGAAAGAAAATTGTTCAAATAAATGATGTCATTCTCTATAATTCTTGACCTATACACAATTTCTGTAAAATGAACCGTATTCGAGATATTTGAGAAAAAGTACAAATTTCGAATTTTGAAGATAACTGAAAAACGAATAAAGAGAAAAACACCAAATTTTAAGTTTAAGCTTCAATCCATCCTGCGGTGAATTGATTAAATTTTGGGCACAGTCGGAACATCTGGGGGTACTTTATAAAAGGTCGTTTTTCTACTTTATGGAACATATAAGTGTTGACGCTTAGAGAAGAAAATTCTTCAAACCAAAGTTGCTTGTAATATTATTCTCTATAATTTTGTCCTATACATAATTTTCCGTATTCGAGAAATTAGACAAAATGAGAAAAATTTTAATTTTTCGGAAAATTGTTCAAATAAAAGTTGTTTGCGATATCATTCTCTATAATTTTTATTCTATATATGAATTCTCTAAAATGGACCGTAATGGAAAAATTTGAGGAAAAGTATTTTCGTTAGCAATGAATATTTACATGGGTGATACAGAACTAGATAGGAAAGTTATGTGTTGGAAACATCATAATTTTTAAGTAACACTCGAAATACTTTTCTTATTCACGATTAAAGGTCATATTTAAAAAACTGGCTAGACTTTTTTAAAAATAAATAACGTAATACTAATGAAGTTATCAGTATTGAGGTTTCAAAGTCAACTTAAAAATAAATTAAACTTAGAATAAAGTAGGTATTATAAAGGAGTGAGTCTAGGATTGGTTGCCATTGGTATTTATTTTTAACTGAATGTTAAAAGTCCAATTGGAAATTGTCAAAAACTTATTTAGTCGATAATAAATTACAGCTGGTTAAATTCTAATCACTAATTAACAATCAGTCTATTTTCTGTTAACCAGTGGCCAGTTAAAATTAAACTATTTTGTGAATTATTTTTTTTGTCATTTAAATTTAAAAATTTCCCAAAATTATTAACTTTAGGGATTGCTTGAATAAAACTTTAATTAGGGTACCGCAAAAGAAATTTGTTTGCCGTTGTTTCCTTTGCACTATACAGGTCATTGAAATCAATACAATTTTCATATAAAACTGGTTGTAACTTGTGAAATACCCTGTATAATCTCATACTATTTGGTATTGTTATACTAGCAAAAGCGAGGGCAATTCAAATGTAAAATAAAATAGAGCGTGTCCCATAATTAAGATTATTTTTAAAGTGTTGCCTTTTCTGATATACATCTTGCTGTAAAATAAAGATTTCAAAATATCAAATAATTTTGAGGGTGGGGGTAGGGGTAGGGAGAGGAAGTAACTGCTCCATTTGCCCACCCCCTGGCGGCGCCCATTCCAAGATATAAGATGTTCGCGGTAAAAATTCAGAATTGATAATGAATCGGACATGCGCTTAAAGAATGAATTAGTAGTTCTGAATCAGTTCGGGATTCTTAGCACGAACAAAGGTATTTTTTTTGTTGAGCTTTTTGTTGACGCATTAGTTATCTCGGACATGACTCGTATCTACGTCTTTGTCGGTTATGTATTTAGAAACATTTTCTGTGGATCACTCTTTATATTTCAAAAATACAACTTCCTTTAAATTCGATTATTAATTAGGAAGGACACGACCGCATTACAACACAAAACAACCATTTCCAAGACTATGGGTGAGATTACAGAAAATGCAGCACGTCTTCAACTTTTCAGATCTGCAAATATGGCTTACTTACAGATGCAAGTCAAGGATACTTGACTTTATAGTATACTTGGTTGTATCTTGAATTCTGTAAGTACGCCATATTTGCAAAGTTGCAGACGTCGTGCATTTTTTGTAATCTCACCCTATATCTTACTTCGGACGCTAATTTATTTAGACTGAAAATTAGCCATTTTCCATTTTTTCGTCCTTTATTTTACGATTGATTCTTAACCCACTTCAAATTTAATACATAACTGTAAAAGAAATCATATTTTAAACGTATGTCACTGATATTCTGAGAATAAATTTTCTTGAATTCATGAAGTTCGAATCGGACCATGGTTGGGTTCAATATAAAAATTGAAGGTTCGGTTCGCGCCCATCCCTAATAACTTATCTAACTGTAATTTTAAATTAAATGCATGTGAAAATTAATAAAAACAATATTCGTTATACGTATAGAATAACGAAATATTTATTTATAAACGAGATAAAATGAATTCTTAGAAGATATCACTGACGTGACAATATAAATGATCGAGTCTCTATATTGGTATCTCGCGTAGTATAAGAGATATGAGTACTTCTAGTTAATAATTGACGAAGTAAAAATTATACAAAAAAATAGTGCGTGCTCACACAGATTGCTAATATCTCGTCTGAACAGATCCGTATTCAAAAATTTTTATTCAATTCTAATACAAACAATTTAAAAAACAAACAAAAATGGCATACCTTGTAGTACCTAATATAGGAAATATATACATTTATGTA